GTTGCACACATTTTACAGAAATTCTGCTAAAATCCTGTCCAAACTAATGAGAAACTGTAGCACACTTAAGTCAAGACATTATGTTGTTTCCAGTTTAAAATGTTACTGTTACCTTTATGTTGTTGTAGCCAATTGAAGCTGGGCAGGTTGGAAATGATGATTTAGCCACCATGCTAACGCTAGCTTGATTACATAACAAAAAACTATAATCCACAGCTGTCAAGTCTCAAGGTTTACCAATGTTTTTGCTTTTTGTTTTTTGCCTCTGTTGCCGTCTCACGGCCATGAATGTAAATCTCACAAGGTTTTGCATTCTTAAATTAACTTTTTTTTTTCCCACAAAATTTGGGTGTGCTAAGCAGCATCATTGCAGTAACAGCCACCTAAGATTAAACACCAGAGCGCTGATTCTGTGTGCTGACATTTAAAAGGCCCTAATTCTGCCAGCACCTAAACAGTAAACATATGCAGTTGCCCTGAATGCAGCCCTGGCTCTTTTCTTTATCAAACTTCCATCAACCATCTCTTTATTTCTATAAGGATTGAGTGGATTTGTATGATAACCAATTGATCATAAAAATGGGATTTTGCATGCATATGCAAAATAAATATAATTTCAAAATAATTACACACTATAAACGTATGCATGCTGAGAAAACCTGAGTTGTTCAGTACAGTTTCCTATTAGACGGAATGGTTTTTTTGCCGGTGTTGTGTTGATGTGTAGAATAACACCATTTCGCTGGTGATAAAGGCTTGTGTCACACCTTCCCAGGTCCTTATTTTAGCCCGCCAAAGCACCCCAGAGATGGTTGCCATGGTTTCGCGGTGACATTGTGCTCCAGTCATGAGATGCCATCAAGCAGCTGTCGAAATTACCTTCATATCCATTTCGTGCTCTTAAAAGTTCAGAAATCTTTCTCAAATATTTTAAACGTAAAAGTGTAGGAACAAACACTGAGACCATTATTCTTCTCAGTGGCTAAGCTACCTCAGGCTGTTCAGATGACCTGAACAGACCCTGCTGGCCGTAAAAGGAGCAGGCCGGTCTGGTCATGGCATGTAGAGTACTGGAGCAGAGACAAGACGTGATAGTGAAGCTGTGTCTTCGTCGTTATGCTCCAGTGCTAGTAACATGTTGTTCCTCTCCAGGGACCCTTCTGGATATATTCCTGTTATTTCCCCCTCGCTTACCTCACCATCACAAGCTGAAGGCCTCAGAGGCCACAAGCATGATGAGGAAAAAGAGGACGAGGGACTGTAACCCAAAGATGAAACCCCAACCATTCCTATCTACTGATTTAGACGGTATTTTACCCACTTCTCCACTTTGTTAATGGATCTGTAAACACTTAAAAGTCTAGTTATTGTTGTTTTGCAATACATTACATACATTACACAATTTACATACACATAGTACATAATGAGTGTATTTGCGATTTACATGCTATACTGGCAAGTTTACGTTTCCATTTCTGACTTCTGTTTTGATGTAAAAAAAAAAACTGACTGAAAACATTGGGAAAAAATGTAGAGGTTGGTTTTATGCTTTCCGCAAAACAAGACTGTCTTAAATTATATACTTTATTTATTTATGGGTATTCAGGTTCTCCTATCATTGTGTGTTTTTTTGATTGCTTCTTTTCATCCAATTTAAATCATGATAAAATATCTCCACCTTTGGCACAATTTCTCTGTTTGTTTCACTGAACTACAAGTCAGGAGTAATTAAACAAAATATAAGAAGAGGCAATTCATGGTACATGAGCCATAGTAACAAAAAGGTTAAAGGCAGATGCTGTGCTTTAGTGGGGGGTCTCTTTAAAAGCCTTAGAAAAGAGAAAAGCCAAATAGATTACTGAAGCCAAATATAATAATGTACAAATATAATGCTTGTTTTCTCTGTTTTTTTTATTACCATATTCTTCTCAGAATGCAGTCAGAATCATTCACAATTCACTAAGACTCTTTTTTTTTTTTAACATGTTGTCTCTGTCATACATTATGATCCTTTGGTTGATTCATAGCTCACCCCACCAACATCATGCCAAAAACAATAAGCTGAGTTTTCCTCTTTTGTCAAATCAGCTTAGAATTCCTGATTATGTACAGATAACATGATCATCTGTTTTTGTCATTTTTTGTTTACTAGTAGAGTTTCAACAAACTTGCAGCCTCAGGATACACCTTTACTTTAACTTTTACTGGCTGTGCCACTCAGCAAGTTCACGCTGACTTTCTAAAGACTGCAATCATGCATTCATCACGGCCATTAGCATATAGAACACTAATGTTAATGTGCTCTCTGACTCTTAGATTACAACACGTATTACTGCTTCAGCTGACACGTAGCAGCGTCAGCACAACCACGATCCACACTGTGCTCCATCAAAGCGTCACAGGAGATTTACTTAATGTAAATCAGTGTGCTTGACTTTGACAGTTACGTTACACAAAGGACTACACGTGTAAAAAGAAAAGAAAGTTTAAGGCCTCTTCACACTTGATATCTCAATAACTCCATTCCTTCATTCCCAGCAAGTTAACTCTGCAATTTAAGTTTATATCTGTCCCATATATGATGAGACTGCGTGTACTGATGGCCAACCACAGTTATCACTGTACATTCTCCATTCAGATCATTTTAGCATTTAATAAGTTTTACGCACACTTGTCAATCACCCTTATACACCACATTCCTGCTTCACCAAGTGATACAGAAACCCTACAGAAGGAGTTTAAATTAACCTTGAAACCTACAGGAAACTACACTAGGCTGTATTGTGCTGAAGCAGGTTTAATTCATTACACAATAGCCACTGGCACTCTTAACTGATTTATTATCTAATAGGAAAAACTAAAGAATATGCTGGGTCTGGAAGACAACATAAGCCAAATATTAAAATGTTAGCAATTACAGATTGCTACAAATTGTATTTGAATACTGTATACTGATCTACCTTTGTCAGTTGTTTTTGTAGTAACTTTTGTACTAATTGACATTCACACCATTCATGTTAATGTCTCTTCAGATATACAGTAAATAGCCTCCAGTTTGCAGTCTAGAGAAAATTTGATTATTTCTTCAGAAATGTTACTTTTTTTAAAAAAGACTTGTCTGAAAAAATGAAATTTACACAATGTTCTCCATAATTTAAATGTAGTCAATCAGCCAAAACATGTCAATGGTTGCTTCTTTGGTTTTGCACAGGACCTACAAAGTGTCAAAGGCGATGTAACGTTGGGAGAGACGAAGAAGCAGGATGCCTGTGCAAGTCGTTTGATTTATTGAAAACACTGAAGAAAATTAATCTACAAAAGTGACTTAAATAAGGAACACTAATGATAAAATAGACAGAAAGAAAACAAAAGACAAAGGGACATGAAGTAAACTGGATAACAAATGAGAAATAACAAAAACAGGACCTGAGAAAAGCAAATCACCAAGCAAACACAAAGCACACTACTAGGGGTATAAATACACATGGACCAAACCAGAAACACATGGGACTAATGAGAGGGTGGAGCTACAGACAACAGACAGGTGAGACAGATGACAAGAAGGCAGAACGGGGAGGAGACAAAGACCAGAACAACAACAAAAGGACATGGCCTTTGTAAACATGGAACAAGAAAACAAAGGCTGAAAGAAGGTAAGAAGGAAAGAGAAGGACAGGGCAGACAAGACAAGACAGGGAAAGACAGGATGTTGCAGGCAATTTTGGGTGACTTCCATTTCGTTAGCCGTTAGCCTCGTAGTTCCAGTGCAAAACTAAAGAAGCAAACATATACTGGGCAATTAACTATGCTTGGGGTAAAAGGGGGGAATTTTAAATTAGAATTTCAGTGAACTATTCCTTTCATCTACTACAAATGATTAGTAACCCACCACATCTGTTTATTACGCTCTCTCTCTTCTTAACCCACTTCCATCTTGACCTTAAACCTTCACTTCTGCTGAAATATCCTATTTAAAGGGGAATTCCCCTGTTTTTTTTTATTATTATTTCTGTATAATTCACTGTTAGAGACAAACAAAATCATTCAGTGTATTTTGAAGTTAAGTGCTTCGTTGTAGAGAAACTTGCAGACTCAGATTTCTTTACAGTGGTGGGGTTAGTTACTATAGGGGTCGCCATGTCTACAGCACAAATATAGCCATTTTATTTACTATCTAAAACCATCAGGGAATCTACACGTCTTCTTCGTTTTAATATGTAATGTTAATGATGGTAAAATAATGGTCAATCTGAAAAAATAAATTTCCTTTAGGGACTATTTTGCCTTAGAACAACCTTCATGTATCCCTCCACCATTAATGGATTAAAATACATTTTATACCAATCTTTATCACAAAACTACTATAAACGCTGTCTCAGAGATCAGGCAGTGTATTCACAACCAGTTCGAGTAATATCTTTCTGTGATGGAGCTTTTGGAGGCGTTAAACTCTTCAGATGTCTGCTACCACTGTGAACAACTCTGACTTTGCACGTTTTTCTAGGACAGCGTTTCACAGCAAACCAATATGAATGATTTTGTTGACATGTTAGCCATTTCAAAATGCAGAAATTTTGAAAAATCAGTGGAGTTCCCCTTCAAGATCTGCTAGGGCTTAACATATTTTATCCTTTTAGAAAAGAGCTCCCATGATATGTATTTATCATCTAAGCCATTATATCGTTTTTGGTCAATTATGAATCTAAGAAAACCTCACCTGAGTCTGAGTGGAGTTGCTAAGTGCCGTTTTGTTGTCAGGCAGCGCCATCTGGTGGTTGAAAACGGAACAGTAGCCCTGCACCCGCTGTTTAAACTACCGAATTAAGGCACATGGCCGTATGGTAGATTAAGGTCGCACTGTTATTGAGAAAAAGAAACATTTTCACGCCCCTAGCTGATAATAATTATAACTCTTTTAAACTCTTACTTAATTCTAAGCGGGTCTAATTACAGTTTTCGATTTGCTGTCCTGTGGTCTCCGCGTGCCCTGATGTCCTTGTAGCCATGGAAACTGGCAGCATCCTCGCGCTGATCAGCGGCTCAGAGCGCGCATGGAATTCAGCGTCTTCAAAATGGCGATAGGACGACCAGCACTCCTCCTGCTGCCGCTGCTCTGCTCGCTCTGTGAGTAACGTTACGCGCTCTAAACGGACCGTAACCCGGGCTTCGGGCTGAACGCTTATTTAAGAAATTATTAACGGTCGTGTCCGGGCTGCGACAGCTGTATTTGTATCTGAATAGCAGTAATCCGGTCCGCGTAGGCTGCTGGCTTTCAGTCTAAACGTTACCAAACAGCTTTACATTACCGTTACCATAGAGCTTAACGGCTGAATTTACCATGGCTGTGTGTGTGTGGTATATATGGCATATAGCATAGCATAAAGCAGGTCTGGTCTGTTTTTTACCGAGTGTGTCTGCTTGTGCTTGGGCTACATGTGAATGTCATAAAACCTGAGTGAAATTTGACTCTCAGCTCACCACAGGAGGACGACGCTGAAGTCAGCTTCTTTTTATCCACCAGCTTCTTGTTCGAATATTCCCGTTCCACCTTAAATGGTGCAGCAGTTACATTCTGGCGCCGGTGAATGTAACTGCTGCACCATTTAAGGTGGAACGGGAATATTCGAACAAGAAACCAGAGAATAAGAAGAAGCTGACTTCAGCCTCGTGACAGGAGGGAAGAGTAACGCTGTCCTGCTGCTCTTCACAGTCCTTCTCTCATACCATTGTGTTTGCATTTGCAAATATAGCTCCATCTGCTCAGCTAGCTGAAGGGGACGTATATGAGGTGTACACTACTCCTGTCGCATTAGGACTGCGATTCGACACTGAAGGGGCCGAGAACATGTGAGAGCTGAGCTGAGCTGTCTGGAACAGGTTTTCACTGACCAACTAACGCTACGCTTTTAGGGATTAATGTTGTGCTGAACCGTGAACCGGACCGGTGGAGGTCGTCCGGTCAAGCCTATCTAGCTAGCTATCGATTTTTGTCACCAAATCCTGTAGGCTCGATGAAAGCTCTAGCAGATGAAACGATGATTATTCGCCAGCTGAGTATTCCACATTTGCGTTCCACCTTAAATTTAAGGTGGAGCGGAACATTCGAATACGAAGCTGGCGAATACTAAGGCAGTTTAAGCCGTGTGCTGAAGAAAGCGCATTGTAGTGCTCAGCTGTAATGAAGGGACAGTTTTGGTGGCCAGGCTGTGTGCTCTGAATTTTAAAATGTGACTGACCAGTGGATCACATTCAAGGAAAACACAGCTAGTTCTCTCTTTCTCTCCTCTCTTTACACAGGCTGTTCTCTCTTGCACAACATAAAGTACCAGTGGGATTTGTCTGCATATTATGCACTGGAATGTTTGGCCAAAAAATAAATAAAAAATTGAATTAACATTGAAGTATGCTACACAAACAGCCTTTGGGGTTTATGAACGCACTCTACATTGCCTCATCGACATCATATGGCCTTAGCCTGTGATGCCCTTTAGCTATAGACAGATTGTTTTTATTTTCCAGCCTTACGCTAGCCTTTTTTGTAGAAATTGCCAATTTTTTTTTTTATACACGAGTGTGTTTAAACATTTATATACTCACTTAGAAGTTTCAGGGCTGAATCGCTGGGGAACCAGCATGAAAATGTGAACGCTTTCGCTTTGGCCCAGCTCCCAGTTACAGCCTGACCTCTTGTCTTCCTTTTCTGGATGCTGTTTTTCTCGAGCCTTCTTTATCATACGTGAAACAGTACACAACCATCATACCACTCCATTTTACTGAAGGACACACATCATAAAGTCAGTACATGCTTCGGGAAAGGAAAAAAAAAGCAGAGTCTTTAGAGTGGTCAAATGTCAGCAGCAGATATAAAAATAACCCAATGATGGGAAAATCTGGGGAATGTCAGCTTCCGTGTCCCATCAGTTACCGCTGTGATAAAATGACTGTTTGGGTTTCGCATGTTTTTATAAGAAAACAGCGGGGTGTCTCTTCATAGGCCTCAGAGGAAACTTCCCGAGGAGAGCAAATCCTCAGCGGCCAAGCTGTGGCCTACACTTTGTTGAATCTTGGTGATTTTGTTTTGAAGGTCCTACTTGGCTTTGATCTGTTCTGCTTTTGTTAGATTACTGTCCAAATTTCTTGTGATTAAACATTGGAGCTTGACATTTCTTCACATGTAAAGACAGTGTTCACTGTATGTTGATTAGCTGGGTATTACTGCAGATTACACAAAGATGTAAAAGAATGAGGTATGAGTTTGATGTTCCTCATTTATAGTACAACAGGTTTCTCGAAAAACATCAATAATTATTTATGCTTTTAAAATGATCGTAGGCTTCCAACGTCCAGTTTAATGTAAAAGTTGATTTTGTAAGATTGCAAGAGTAAAAAACAGTTTGTCACATGCTTTGTTTTTTGTGTTAGTTATCATGTTAAAATCATTATCTACCTGTTACTTTGATAACTAGTGTTCTGGCAAACTTGAAAAATTGTTTCTTTTTGAGGAAAAATATTAGATTAATGCTTTAATGCTTTAATAAGGTTGTATATTTTAGGGCTGTTTCACTATGACTGTTGTATGAAATGTTATATGCTTTAGTACATTGTTCTCAGTTCAAACCTTTAATGCAGAGACACAGGACTCTGTGGGTCACTTATGGCCCTGAACTGAACAGTAAAACAGTAAAATATATTTTTAAAGCCAAAACAAAAAAAAATGTAAATGTCAGCAGGCTAAGATTTGGTGTATGTATTTTTAGTCTTGGCTGTTCGTTTCACACCAGCCAAGCCCTGTAGTTTGTTTTAGTTCTGTTTTAAGAAACAGGCCATGGCAGCCTGTTTGATGATCCATTTTTTAGTCCATTGGTAAAGACAGAGTGAAAGTAAACACATAAGCTGAGCTAAATCTGCATGTATGACATTCACACGGTATGCAGTTTCACAAAGACATCAGACAAGCACAACCTGCAGTGAACATCTTAAATCAGAGCTGAGACACCAGCATCTCTGTTGAGCTCTGTAAGAACAAAATACTAACGTTTCCCTACACAATATTAACAAATCTGCAAGTCTTTACATAGTGCTGGGTGATATGATCTCAAATCAGTATCACGATTAATTAAACATTTTACCTCGATTGCGACTAATGAACAGTTATTTTGTTTTTGTCTTTTTTTTGTTTTGTTTTTTGCCCTCATAGTTCACTTACAAGGTTTGTACTGTAAATATGTTCAACTAAAAAAGCTGGGATATTTTTTCTAATGAAAGAATTCATATCTTTGTGATTTTAAAATAACTGCAACCAGAGATTAACAATTTATGGTTATTTATTGAATATTTTGAACAACTGAAATAAAAGCACACATTGCTTAAAATGAAAACATGTTATGAAAAAGGTCACATTTTAGTTGTAATGTAACAGGCAAGTTCCCTAAAAAGTAGAAAATAATAACTTGCATTTCTTACAAACAAAATAAATTGTTTTAAATAATGCCATTTGAAAAGTAGAAAGCGCATTTTAACATTAATGTGCTATATGAACAGATTTTTTTATTGTTGTCACAGTATTTATTTAGTATGTAGAATGAAAAAAAAACATACCTCAATTAAAACATACCTCAATTAACATCAGCACAGAAAAGGATAATAAAAAAGCACAAGGCATATAAAAACATGTAGACGTTATCATTTTTGACACACACGCAAACAAACACAGGGAATACAGCAGCCAGTCACCACCCAGATATCCCCATTTAGATTACTGAATATTGTAGCATTGTGTCTGTCAAGTTAATGTGTGCTTACCGATTTCCAGGTGCAGTATGTGTCCAAAACTAAAAATTAAATAAAACAAATACTAATATTAAATAACTGACATGGGAAAGATTACGTCGGTTAGAGGTTCTGAATGTCAGTTTCGATGAATTTTTGATGAATTTCCCAGCCCTGTCTTTACATATTATAGAATGAGCTGAGAAAAGGACTAAACCAATGGGCAAAAACTGCTTCTGCTGACCAGTTGTTCCGGTGTCAATTTTCAGCAGTGTCAAATCAATATATTCAAATCAATACGGCTCAATGTCACACCAGCACAGTTGTTTTTTCTGAAGTGATCTTCATATTTTATAGCTTGAAGGTTTTAAAGTAAACGTATAAATAAAATACACACCGAAAAATGATATTAGAGATGCAAATCATTATTGGTGTGGACAAATTGTTCCTTAAAACATATCGACATGGGACAGATTTTAGATTTAGATTTGACCAATATGTGATGATGTATTTGTTGTACTCCAGAAGAGCAAAATGTTTAGCAGACCCTGAGCCACTGCACTAAAACATCTGCATTTTATTCATTTTATTCATGTTCATTTTTATTTGTTTTAACCTTATAGAAAGAAGTGTTTTATGTCTCTGTAATGCTAATCCAAGTGGATTTTGTCCCAATTACTACATTTTAAAAATGTATACTTATCGATATTGGTAGATATGTCAATGAAAAATATCAGAAACCACTGAAAAGGGTTCTTCTATTGTTCTGTTTTTACTGTTTCTGTTGTTACAATTCAGCTGTTGTGAATTCAGTTGTCTAGCCAATTTTTCTGTAATAATTTCTAGGTTGCATCACAACATTTGCTGTCATACTCAGAACTACAGATAAAGATGTATGGGCCAATGAATTTGAGCGTAAGTTGAAGCTATAAAATTCAATTTTAACTGTAAATATACTGACCAGCATTTGTGTCATGTGTCTGTTTACTATTCTTGGAAGTTGGACTAACAAACCCTTTTTTTTCTTGAAAGCAATTGAATTGACCTGCTTGATAGAGTCCATATCTACAAACAACCCTAGAATTGAATGGAAGAAGATTAAAAACGGGGTCCCCAGTTATGTGTACTTCCAAAACAAAATATCAGGTAACATTTGTTTTATGTGCAGCCACTAACAATTTCATTAAAATCTTGATATTTCTTAATGATGTAATTGCAAGCTGAGCTTGATAGACATAAATCAGATAATGTTGACCTTCAAATATGTTGTATTCATTGTAATGACTATTATTGGTTTCTTATTGTTAGGTGATTTAGAGAACAGGGCGATATTGAGAGAGCCGGCAAACCTGCTGATCCGGAATGCCAGCAGATCAGACAGTGCATTGTATCGCTGTGAGGTGGCTGCCATCGATGACCAGAAACCCTTTGATGAAATACTTATCAGCCTGGCTGTGAGAGGTACATTCATACTTACCTGTTATTCATAGAAGACCTTGCATTACAGATGTTAGGGATGGCCATGTGCAATATTTATAAGTAAGCCAAAAGTATTTTTATCCAGGTTTTATTTCCGTCCCGTTTAGTTGTAGCCACTTCATACCTGTTAGCTAGGTCTCCCCCTGTGTTAAGCTGGGAGGATGAAGAGTAGCATGTGCTTCATCCAAGACACACAAAGTCAGTATCTTTTTGAACTACGGCTAAAACAACATCATTGGACAGCTCAATATGCTTGGAGAAGAGCGGCAACTGTCAATGCTATAACATGAGCTAACAGATGCCTGCGTTAGCTAGCGTTACGCTGAGTGATGGGGGAGATGGAGGACCTGAGGCCAGTTTATGCTCTCTTAGACTCCTGGCCATGGATGGCTTTGACACCAGGGAATCTCCTGATGACAAGGTCATTGCTGATGGTTGTGCCACTTAAGAGTGAGAAACAAGTAATCTGATTAGAATTTGAGTAGATGAATGTCTGTTCACTGCATCCAACAAAGGCCAAGCAACAGTGTTTGTCCTCCTTCGTTCTGTATGCTGTGCTGAAGTAGCAAGTGATTGCTCATTGTAGTAAGCTTTGGCTCTCTTTCGTTTGGGTTCCAGTGAAGCCAGTGGTGCCAAGATGCAGTGTGCCAGAGTCCATCACTGTGGGCTCGTCCACAGAGCTGCGGTGCGTGGAGAATGAGGGATACCCTCCATCTCAGTACCAGTGGTTCCGCAACAGTGAGGAGCTGCCTGAAGACCCCAAAAGCAGCACCCGCTTCTCCAACTCTTCATATATCATGAATACAGACACGGGCACACTGGTACGTTCAGCTTGGTATTTTGGTTTGGTATTTACTGTCGATTTAATAAAACGGCCTACACATTTTTTCCTATTTAAATAATACCTAAGGCCAAAGTTTAAAGTGTTAAGTTAACCTACAGTCTACTGTTATAGTAACATATTAGGGGAGGCCGCGGCACCTGTAATTCACTGAATTTTTGAGCTAGAGTTCTCAAACTTTTATACAAAGTGCCCAGATTAGTTTACTACAAATTTGTTGTTCAATTGCTTCAATTCAGTCCTCAGCAAGGATATCACAGACTTCATGAGTTGATGTCAAATACATGGTGTTCCTTTGTTACAACCTACCCCACTACCAGGGAAGGTTGTAACACATGCTGGGGTAAGTTATAACAATTAGACAAAAGATACCACTCCATACAATATGCTTCAAAAAGAGGTTTGCCAAAATAAAATAACAATCCAGAACAATGCTTTTCATCCCATGTTTGTGGTTGTTTCATGTTATATATTACTGCCACGTAATATGCAAATTTTCTGATCTAAAAGAAAGTGGAGCAGAAAACCTGAGTACATAGTGTGCTAGTATTCAATTTTACTCCACTCTCCAGTGGCTAACCTGTCATATGCTTATCTCATGTGGAGTCCGTCCATTATACAGGTCTGCTGACTGAGTCAAACTTTCAGCCAACACTTCCTCCTGCATCTCAGAGAAAAGTTTGTTGCTGCTTTACAACTGATCTGACTGACTTGCCCTTCTTTGCGACTCCATCATTTGCTTTTATAAAACATTTTGGAAGGCACACCTCTATCACTCTGTCCTCTGTCAGTCTTTCTGACTAGGCATTCTATAAAATTATTAAAATCAATAAAATGTTCCAAATTCTATGTAAGGGGATGGTTGTAACATTTTTTAAAGATGTGTTACACCCCACCCCACCCCTGTCAGCCATTGTTTAGCTAGCTGTATTAGCATAGTGGTTTGAAATTAGCAGGGGAAAAATGCATCATATTTTGCCAGAGAAACTACAGTTGAATCTATTATAAGTCATATGGTTTTATCTGTGATAGTATACATACTAAACAAAATACAGTGTTGGTAAAAAAAAAAATACTTTTTTACCTCAAAATCCATTTGTTTCTCTATAGAATCTGCATGTGCCTGTTTCCAGCCTTGACATCCACCATGTGGGATCAGGGTGGAAGTGGGTAGAAACTGAAATGATCATATGAATCCTGTCTAATCCCTGACTGGTGAAACTGGTGGTGTTACAACTCGCCCCATGTTACAACCATACCTGGTCTCCCCTATTGTTATTGAATTATTAGGTGGGCTATATTAAATTGTGTCTTCTAAATGCTTTGTATGTGACAACATTGATGTAACTTCAACTTAAAAATCATTTAGGCTCATGTTCATGTTTGACATGGGAAGATGTTCTGTTTATGGATGACTAGCACAGCTTTATCCCTTTAGCAGCCTGTCCACAGTAAAAAAATGTGCTGCCTTAAATAGTCCAGCTTGACAGCCATTGATTCCTGATTCCGTCATCAGTCAGCTGAAACTTAACATCTTCTTCTTTTGTACCACCCTAGATGAGATTCTTGGATTAATTTGCAGAAATTCTACTGTTAGTGGGGTTGTCTTTACTAAGTGTTGCTTTATAAGTTGTTCACATACATTTTATTCACTCTTATATTAAACCGTGTTGTGTTTTTCTTGTCTTTAAGAAATTTAGGATAGTGAAGAAGGAGGATGCAGGCGAGTACCACTGCCAGGCCAGAAATGAGGCTGGCTACTCAAAATGCGAGCCACAGCTTATGGAAGTCTGTAAGTTATGGTCTCTATGCATAATTTAAGTGAACAAAGTTTGCATTGATAATAGTAATAGACGTAAATATTGGTGTTTACGCGTCTCTGCTAAAGTCATTCTCAGGGTTAATGCCTTTGCTTTTGTCTGCTCCAGATGATCCTGATATCATGGGGATTTCCTTAAAGGTTTTGGCAGGAGTGGCTGCGCTCATCTTTGTTACAGTGGGGCTCTGTCACGCTCAGAAACACGGCTACTGTTCCTGCAAGGACCACAGAGAAAACGAGTGAGTAAAGACCTTTGCCCGAAATATGTGGGGTGTCTTCAAAAGGCCAGCAAGATACAATATTGCTCTGTTCTTAATACTCACAACATAGCTAACTGCCCATTTGAAGTCTGAAATGTCGCAGTGTTGTGTGTAGTGAAAGCCCATAATAATACACTGTTTCTTGCAGTTATAAAGTCCCTCAACACAGCAGTCCAATGGACTATGTCAGTGCAGATGAGGTGAGAATTTGTTTGATACTTTAAGGCTCATTTTTAGTTTTACTTTAGTTAGTTGTTGGTTTGTACAGTAGTACGCAAACGTTTAAGGACCCCTTGTCATAAGTAAATAAATAAGTGAACACATCCTCTACAGAGAACACACTGCACATTAAATGCACAGTTACTGTTTATTTGTCGAATTTAACGTATTGGCAAAAAGTAAACCATTAAATGTGACCTGGGCAAAAGTTATTGGCATTTTATATTGTATGCTTTATTTTTTCTAATATATTAAAAATACAATTGTGAACTAAAATCGGCAGAAAAATGCCATATTTAAGTTTGTTCCCTGTAGAAGATGTGTTAACATATTTTTACTACTATCATTTTAACCAAGGGCATTAAAACTTTTGCACATGACTGTATACTACAGTTCAAAAGTTTGGAATCACTGCTTCCAACAATATAAAACCATTTTTGTTGTAAGTACATGTGTAAAATGATTCTGTTGTGACCCTACTATCACACAACTTTATAGATCTCAACTAAGTTGTAGAAAGCTTCTAAAACATTGAGAATAAAGCTATAAAAAAGTGGTGGTGAAATCTGAGGCAGATAAGTTATCAAGGAATTGCTGTAAACGATTACAGTATGTTATTGATCATTAATGATCGCTCACTTATGATTTAATAACTTCTTAGAGTTACCAAAAATACCTTCTGGTGTCTAGCTTATAGTATTTCAGTCTACAGTGTATAAATTACTATAGAATAAAATAAGTAGTATTTAGAATCACTTATCATATTAAAGTTTTGAACGGTAATGTAGATTCTAAACTTTTTTTTTATCCTTGTACATGTATTTAGAATAATAATGTCTTTGAATATCACGTGTTTTATCTTTGCCGTATTTTTTTTTTTTGCAGGGGCATTTCCGCCACAAGTCCTCTTTTGTCATATGATTGGGAAGTGAAACCGAAGACACAAGAGAGCCACAAGCTTTGACTTTGTGAGCGTTGTGCCACACATACGAGCTACCACATTGTGCATTTTTTTCAGAGGTGCGGAAACATATACTTCTTAGCTTGCCAAAGTTATTATCGAAACAGACAATTAAAGTGTTACAATCCTCTGGGGAAGTTTTACTCCCTTTATTTTAAAGTTCATAAAGGACTTTGAACCAGATTTACTCAGCAACTCGCAGTCTGTACACTTTATAAGATCCTGTATGAGACTGTCTTGTGAATTACACTTGTATTTGTAGATATAAAAAAAATGTCCTGCCAAGAAAGATGACATAAGTTCGAGAAGGTTTAAAAGAATGTTTTCTTATGGATAAAGTCATGGAGCCGTAGTTCAAAACCCATACAGCCACAGACAAAGTTTACAACCCAGCAGTCTTTCAAGAACAGTGAGCATGAATGATGAGATGACTGTATGGTTGAAGAATGTGCAGAGCAAAAGGCCAAGAAACTATTGCGACACTAAATTAAAGCACAGATTGTGCTGATTTGTGAAGCCTAAATTACACTGAGCTTCTGCTGCATCCTGCTACGTAAAACTGGCCAAACTGTCAGAGCACCACAGAGAATGGTTCAATCAGTTAGCACGCTAAATACCACACTCTGTTCAGACACACTGAATCTTGACTCAAGTCAAAGCCAGTGTGTTTGTGTGCGTATACAATGCCATGCCATGACTGTTTGACGTGGGTCACTTTTTGATATTACGGATGTCGTGGGACGTTATGTGTTGATGTTTTAGTGCTAGTTGTATAGGTTGTAAATTAAGATTTCGTTTGAGGTTGAATCAAAAGTCTTTGTAAAGTCTATAGACTTGGTTGTGCTAAACGACACAAACATTATTTCACTTCATTTTTTGAAATAATCTTATAGATGCAGATGATGCACTTAAGGTTTGTTCAGAGTGTTTTCTCTGTTGAAGTGACCTTCTATACTTTATAATTGTTTATACATATATTTTTGGACATATTGTCCAGGTTTTTTGACTGTGTTATTGTTTTCATCTGTTTTGTGGTATGTGGTTGCATTGAAGTACACTCAGATGAACTTGCTGGAAAGATTGTGGGCCATGACAAATAAATAATAGTAAGGGTTCAGTAATTTCAATTTTTTGTTGATTTTTGGTATTTTTGTCCCCGTACATTCTAATTGTTAAGTATCAGACTAGATATTCCATCACAGTATTACTTATTTCCCAGGAGGCTGTTTTTTCTAACTGTGATCAGTGCACCTGAGACTTTGCCAACAACTGTAATGTTGTATAGCTTAGCTTTTCTACTCAAAAGAAGCTATTATCGACTGTTACCTTTTAAAGTTGTCTTACATTGTTACGGTAAAACCAATAATAGTCTTCCATCATGGCACGTACCACTGTCTAAGAAGCAGCACTACAGACTGTTTGATATGAATACGGTAAATGAATACTGTAAATATGCACCAAGAAAAGGATTTTGGCCTGTGTTCAGTCAGTGCAGTGTGGATATTTCTAAAATTGGACTTTTCGAGCTTCAACCAAATCCGCCGTGTTGTTCATACCACAACATACAACTATGGTATGTTTGATCTATTCATGTTGGAGTTTCTATTGGAGAATAAGCTTGAATATGCATGACTAAGTAGAATGATGCCAGATGAATTACTTAAAACACATGCTTACAGTTATTTATTAAGAACATAGAAATCTATATATACAGTATATAATCTCACCACAACTGCCTGTTTGATACTAAAAGATTTTGGTGTGTATTACCAGAGTATTAGAATATTTATCACCCTCTTCTTAACCACTGTGTGCCAGTTTTATGGACCATACTGGTAAAGTTGGATATGCTGCTTGATATTGCATATTTGGCCTAAAAGGTGCATTATCGGCCAAATCCATTCCACAGTTATTTCAATCATTTATCGATTTGAAACAATAAACACTACAACAAAAGATAGTGTGACATTCCAGTACAATTAAATGTTGAATGTGCATCATTTAACTGTGTAACAAAATCACAAGCTCAGCTGTTGTCTGGTTAATTTTGTCAGTAATGTGTATTATTTCATGTGCTGTTAGAAGAAAAAAACAGTTGTATCATAATATATAGGCCTACGAATAGCATTAAACCATTGTAAAACTAATATGTATTCAGTCTCTGTACAGTCTAATTCTAATATTACTCAGGAACTGTTTAAAAGAAGTGGCCGTTTCTGTATGTTGTGAAAGCTTAAGTTTTCCTTTTATTTTCATTTTAATAATAAAGACATTATTGTATTTGAAGATTTCGCCGTTTCCATTTTTGCCGTTTCCGCTTGTGCACTTTTACTTTGAAAGGCCTCCGCACTTTTATTCTGTATTTTGTATCCACACAGCTCTGTTAGTCGGAAGTGAGCGGAGGCAATAACATTACTAGCGTTAACGTTTCTGTGACATTTTGTGGTGTGTCGAAGTGTATTTATCAAAATAACCGTCTTCTGGTACTGAGGAAACTACAGTGATATGAAAATAGCCTGTAAAGATTTGCTGACAGACACTTAAAGGATCTAATAATGCACTTAGAGATCGTTTTCCATGGTAGCTCTCACAATTAGCCAACTTGCTAATGAACTAGTAGTAACGTTAGTTTCGTAACCTCAGTCTTTCCAGCCCGCTAACACCGAGACTCAGACGGCGACCGTTTAAAATATATCTCTTCGTCCGTAGTAACATTATTTCTGGAGGTGATATTAATTTACTGGACTTTTACTCGAGACCAAGAGCTCCATCTGATACAACCTGCTGCTACAAGTGTTTCGACAGATAACCCCGCAGACAGACACACCGAGCCACAGCAGCGATGAGCTTCTTCGGTTTTGGCCAGAGCGCAGACATCGACATAGTGCTGAACGACGGCGAGACGAGGAAGAAAGCGGAACACAAGACCGAGGATGGCAAAAAGGACAAATATTTCCTTTTTTATGACGGCGAAACAGTAAGCGGGAAAGTTAACGTGACACTCAAAAATCCTGGAAAGAGGCTCGAACATTACGGGATCAAAATTGAGTTCGTAGGCCAGATCGGTAAGTCAGGAGTCCGTGTCTTAAAGGGCCCTTAGTATACCTTTTATAGTACTTTAATGAAAGTCAACACACTTTTATATCATTACTTGTGTATTCTCTAGTTCCCCATGTTGACTTGGCAGTGACTATAAAAAAAGCTTCATTCTTATAAATGCCCGTATCTACTGTCAGTGCAACAATTAAGAGGTTTAATGTACTTGTTTCCACCTTCCAGGTCCTCTAATGAAGTCTGTGTGGTAGACTTTATGCATTTTATATGACCATTTTCCAACCTTAGAATTAAACAGGTTTTTTTTTTTTACTGTGCCTTTGAGACTGATATATGTAAATGAGCTCTGCTCTGATTGGCTCCACTAATATGCCCTTCATTCAAAAAGTAGTTCAGGCTGAAACACTCCATACAGCTTTACCGTGAATGGGTAAACTGTGTGTTTTGAAACAACATATAATTACTTCATTAAGCTCTTGTATAAAACAAAAAAGTGAGGATTTAATTTTTTATATGGGCCCATTAAAATGCAGAAGTGTTCATTTGCTGAGTGTGTAGGTGTGTAACTGCAGTGTCTCTTGTGTGCAGAGCTGTACTACGACAGAGGGAACCACCATGAGTTTGTCTCTCTTGTGAAAGATCTGGCTCGACCTGGTGAACTTTCCAGCTCTCAGTCGTTTGACTTCGAGTTTGCCCATGTGGAAAAGCCTTATGAATCATACACAGGCCAGAATGTGAAACTGAGGTAAACTAATTAACAGTTAATTGACATAAACACAAACTGTGGAACTTCAGCAGACAAATTGAAGAGCTGAGCTTGATGAGCTAATGAAGTACAACCATTCAGAACGACTTTATCAACATAGCTTCAGTTGAGTTCTCACCATTTATCTACACTCACATGTCCAAGAGTTTGTAGACACCTGCTTATCCAGCATATCTTCCAAAATCAAGGGAATTAATAGGGAATTTGTCCCTTTGCAACAGTAACAGCCTCCACTCTTCTGGGAAGGCTTTACACTGTTGAAATAATACTGTGAGGATTTGATTGCATTCAGCCACAAGAGCATTCTTGAGGTCACATACTGATGTTTGATAAGTTGTTTTTATCCAGCTCATTCCAGAGATATTTAGTAGAACTCCTTCACTCCTGAGAATGCAGTTTTACTGCTCCACAGTCCAGGCGTGGGGGCTTTTATACCCTTCTAGCTTATGCTTGGCATTGGATATGGAGACCTTAGGCTCATGTCTGGCTGCTCCAGAGCATCACATTCTATTAGCAGTGCTTTTCTATGCAGATTATACAAGCTATGTGTGCGCAGTTGAACTCATGTCAGTAATGAGGGCACATTCAAGTAGGTAAATTCACTGATTAAAAGAGATGTCTAAATATATTTGGACATATATCGTAATAAATAAAGCTTGATTGCTGATGAACTCCTCCCATCCAAACTTTCTCACTGCACTGTGTACAGTTCTTGCATATACCAGTGGCATAGCCAAAATTTACTTTTAGGCAGGGCCTGATTATAGGTTGGGGGACAGCTAGGAAGTACTACATCCAGGAGACATTGCTGTAGTGAGGTTGGCCACTACCAACTAGCCAGCTAGCCTGCTTCACTGTAGCTATCATAACCAGCTACACCCCTCATATATACCTGCTTCAGTAGAATTATAAACACAGCACACTATTTCTGACCTCGCCTTTAACTGCTCAGCTGACAGCATGCCACGGTGGTCAGGCTTATTAACCACAAGACTTCATTTTACAGAACTAGGAGTAGATGTCTGGGGCAGATTAGCTGAAGAGTGCGATTTTTTTCAAAGTTCTTTCAGCAGTGTAAACCTAGCCAGTAAGTTAGTAAACAGTAGCCTAAACTATTGCACTGTGATTTATTGCAGATTTGGTTTTAAACCGTGGTTGCCACTGCTGTTAGTCAAAAATTAATGATGGTAAAAGGAGAGCTTTGGCCGTCATTTTTATCTTATTTAAAAAAAAATAAAGTATGAGGATGTAAGAACTCAGCGCCCAAATGAGATCGCTTTGGGCCCCACAGGCCCCCTCATAGCTATACCCCTGTTACGTACCTTCTTCAACTGAGGCAGATATATATCAGGACTGTGACTGCAGCCGTTGGTCTCATCCCAGAAACGGTCAACATTAGGCCTTCCACTGTACAGACTGCCATTTTGAATTATTTCAAGCATTGTGACCTGTATTGTTATCTGAATATCTGTTTGGGTTGCCTGTAGGTACTTCCTTCGTGCGACAATAAGCCGAAGACTGAATGACATCACCAAAGAAATGGATATCGTAGTACACACCCTGTGCACATATCCAGAATTAAACTCCTCCATAAAGATGGAGGTCGGAATTGAAGATTGTCTGCATATTGAGTTTGAGTACAACAAATCCAAGTAAGTACCATTCTATACTATTTCACACACGTCAGCATGTTTCACACTGTGTCTGACGTAATTGTTCTTGCATTGTTTAGGTATCACTTGAAGGACGTAATTGTAGGGAAGATCTATTTCCTTCTTGTGCGGATAAAAATAAAGCACATGGAAATCGACATAATAAAACGCGAGACGACGGGCACAGGACCCAGCGTATACCATGAAAATGACACCATTGCCAAATACGAGATCATGGATGGAGCACCAGTGCGAGGTACAGCTAAGCGGTGGTAGCCTTATATTTGAAATTATGCTAAGCAAGCACATCGTTACTTTCCTGTTTTCAGTCCACTTTGAGAAACCTTTACATATTTTAAAGCTATTATTATCGTTTACCTAGGTGAATCAATCCCCATCCGATTATTTCTCGCCGGCTATGAAGTGACCCCCACAATGAGAGATGTTAATAAGAAGTTCTCTGTGCGATATTACCTGAATCTAGTCCTGATAGATGAGGAAGAGAGGCGATACTTCAAACAGCAGGTATAGTATTCTATAAGCTACATGTTTAATAAGGTGTATGCATGGTACGACTGCACATGTGTGTATGTGGCCTGTGTGAAAGTTTTTATTTTTCCAATTTGAATAAAAAGAAAGCGCTTTTTCACATTGTGAGAACCACATTATGGATTTATAGTGCGTTTTAATATTATAGCAAGGTATAACGTAGTAGCAGTATGTAGCACTATAAGTGCAAGACTAGAAATTTGTTCATATCATGCAGCCCTATTTCACTCAACACAAGTAATCAAAAGTCTTTTACATTTTCTCCCCACTGCTGAAGGAAATCACCCTCTGGAGGAAAGGAGACATTGTAAGAAGGAGTATGTCCCAACAGGCCACTATTGCTTCTCAGAGATTTGAAGGATCGAACTCTGCATATGCCTCAGCACAAACCAAAGAGGCCAGCAGTTAGGCAGACTTCGTAGGAGGCACAGTACATCCTCTATTGCCTCAAATGAAATGTATCATCTTTTATATTATGTATCCAAGCTGTTGAGGGATCAGCAGTATATTGAAGACTTTAGGGGTAGATGGGAAAGGAAATCGTCCATAAAGAACACACAGGTGCTCAGTTTATAAACATGTACATTTACTAGCTCTTGTCAATTGAGTTCTCAAGCTTCTCTTTCAAACCTTTTGATCATGAATCGAGGAAACAATCAATGCTATATTAGTTTCCTATATATTCAAGTTCCTTTACATTCAAGTTGTTGCTGATTTTTAACTAACATACGTACAAAATTGACTTTCGCATTGTCTATTCAGAAGCATTCCTATCTTTATGATCAAGTTAGTACTTTTTTTAGCATTCATTTTCTGATAAATGAGCCTGAAGTAAACACTGGGAGCTTTTTGTGTTCTGCATTGGTGTCAAATGTTTGTATATTTACAATTCTTTTATTCATAAAAAAAAAAAACAGATTTCTGCATAGTATTATGGAAGCTAAGAAAGGAGGACAGCACAGAAATGCTCAACACACTTTCCTAAAGGGAACAAATCATATTACATGACGAGCAGAGGCTGTCCTTGTTTTCAAATATTTGTATTTCTGATTGAAAGCATTGTTTGTGTCTAATATGTAAATTTATATCTGCTAAAAGTGCTCTCAGCAAGTCCACTGTGTTCCAAACAGGCAGTCTGTATGAGTGTTATTATATGCTGCATAATTACAAAGTGTCAGTTTTTTTGATGAATGTTGAGCTCTACCTTTCTTATATTTTGCCATTTTAACATTGCTCAGGTGGAGCGATCATTCATGCTCTCATAATGGAAAGCACTTTTGCACAATGGAAGCTTGATGAGCCATATTGTAAATAAACTTTGCTAACTTCTGGGTCAGTTACTGTGTGATTACTCACAAACCCTCAAGCTGATCAGCTGTATTAATGGACCTGTATCCTACATTTTTTCTTTCAAGTATCAAAAACAGTCATAGTTCGTTTCATACATTTCCCGACTCTTTATTCATTAGAATTAGACTGTTTTTGTTACTGGGACATCTGTAACTTTAGTTTTAAAGGGTGAGGCTGAACTGCTCAAAGCTGAATAGCAGCCATATGTAAATGTGTGGCAGTTTTGTGCTCAAAGCAATAAATTCAAAACTGTCTCCTTTTGCGTCAGATACAGATAGTTTCAGTATCTGTATTGCAGGCACCGGTGCGTGACCAGTACAGTTTGAAACTAAAGATGCATACATACTACATAAAACTCAAAAAAGTAGAGGAGTCTTTAGTTATTAAAATTTAATTCCTCTCATAAGACTGATTCCAACAGGCTGTCCTCATACATTGCTGAGAATTTTTATATTTTACACATGACACGCCAAGCATATAAACCTTTATAAAGTTTAATATACCAAAATTATTTTATTAACAATCTTAAGTGGTTACATTTGCCCATGGACTGTACCAACAATTGAGAGATTAGTTCAGTGTCTGGTTATATATCCAGAGAGAGGCATGTAAAATCTTAGAAGACTTGCATTAACAGTATTGTAACTGAACAGAGTGCATTTTAAATTGATTCCCAGTCTTTTTCATATTGCATCAGTATCTTCCAAACTCAAGACAAAGTCGAATTCCTCTGAGAACAGAAAAGAACAGGACAAAATCACAAACAAGAAAAACTAATCAGTATCATAAATTGAAGGGTAGATACTAATGTTTCACTTACAATACTGTGCAAAAGTCAGGGACCACCTTTCATTTATTTAGTTTCCAGTCAAGACGACCATTAAGTACAAGTTGCACATTTTTTCAAATATTTCTGAGGAGATTAGATATTAGATATTTCAGTTGTGTAAGGGAAAAAAAACTAGTTTTCAAAACTGGATTTTAAAAACTGAATAAAAGATACAGAGAAAAGAGGACTCCTAACAACTGTGCAAGACCTGGTTGACCACCAACACTGTCAACAATACCAGATAAACAGGGCTTAAAGCTTTCATCTTTGAGAGAGAGGAAATAATCAAGCTCCACTTTCACTTCAGATCTGAAAATAACGTGTTTCTGTCCATCCTTCCACTGCGAGAAGACAACACCACTATGAGTTTGAAAGGATGTGTAACTGTCAAGAAGCCGTTACTGAGAAAAGGAAATAGACAAAAAAGGAAAAAACATTTGCGCTTCAAACAAAGGAGCTGTTGGTGTCCTCAGAGCAACGGTCTGACTACAGCACACACTTCAAATAATTCTTCAAGCATTCTTTAGTTCCATATAGAATCATGAACAGAAAGAATCCTTTGCATGATTTAATGGTTCCTTCCATCCTGAAAGTGTTCTTCAGACTGATGGAGAATGTGCTGTAGATGGTTCTATAGAGAACATTTTTAAAAAACCAAAAAGGGCTCTTCTATATGTCAAGCTTGTCAAAATAGAAGAACCCTTTGGTTCTGGACTCTGCAGAGTCTAGTCCTCAATATCACTAAATGTGTTTGGGGTTACTCTGATCATATGAAGCAGAAAATGCAACCAACTTCTAAGACTGAACTTTGGAGGGTGAAAAAATATCCCTGCAGATTTCTCTGAAAACTGAAACCTCTTAAGTCCTCTGAAAAGAATGGACACTAGTAAAAGGTTAAGGGTGGCTACACTAAATTCTGAAAAATGGTATATTTATTATAATTCATCACAGTTTTGACTAGAAATTAAATAAATGAATAAATGTCTCTGCTTTTTGCCCAGTACTGCGTGTAAAAGAAATACTACAACTTTTACACTTGCATTATCATGTTTGATTTAAGGTATGATTTTAGTATGACAGGATCAGGTCTGATATATATATTTGAGGATGTTACTGACCTGCTGTTAAAGGTTGAACTGAAAGCCTAGCCCTGGTGAACTGGGCCATGTTGCTGAGTGGGCCACCATTGCTCTTGTGCTGCAAGTGATACTTCTTCAACTCCGCCAGCGGAATGAAGCGTTTGGTCATCCTCTCAAACTTGACGTCCACCTATACACACAAACATGAGTTGCCAGGAGAACACAACACCAGAGGAGGACATGCATTCTTATTCACTAATAGTAGAAAAAACATCAGGACAGCAAATACAGGGTGATTCAAAAAGATTCATCCGATTTCAAAATGATTTATTTCACTTGTCAATCATTACAGAACAATGCAGTAAATTGTAAATGGTTTAGTTCAGCATAAAGCTTATTATGTCATTTTACAAGTGCTCAATATGAACCTCCTCTAGCTGTACAGACAACATCAACGTGATAGTCAAATTCATCCCATACTCGAATGAGCATGTGGGGTGTCACTGTACTCACGGCTTTCTCAATGCGATTTCGGAGATCACCCGGTGTTGTGGAACCAACAACGAATGCTCTGAGCTGTTTGAGGTTCACTGCCGATGAAAATCACGTTGCACAGTTATGACGAATTCACTCTTACTGAAGTGGAGAACGCAAAACGCTTTCTGCTCTTTGGTCATCTCCCCGCAGACTGAGGGGAGCCATCTTCCGGTGACAGAAACTCTATGACCCCCTCTTTCAATTGGTATGTGATTGGTTCCTAGGCGCCTCATGGTTGTAAAATGTGACGCTTTGAAATCGGATAAATATTTTTGAATCACCCTGTACTATGGTATAAATCCAGAGGCACTGTATAAATAATACAGATGGATCCCATTCCGACTGATTGGAACCTACCATACTCCACTTGGGATTTTCTGGTTTGCTGGAGGGATCGTAATATAGACCTTTCTTGTCAAACTGTGTGTGGTCAACATAGGCCTCCTTCACAATCTGGAACATCAATTACACTGTTGTCTTCTTTGAAAAAAAAATATGAAGGACTTTCTTTTCGGATTAGTATCACCAAAGTGTCATACTCACCTTTATTATACCAGCAATGCCAGGCTCTTTACAGTTACTGTGGTAGAAGAAAGCCTGCTGGCCCACTTTCATATCCCTCATGAAGTTACGAGCCTGAAAGCAAAAAACAGAACCTCTAAAAAACTGAACATGGTGTTTGTAGATAAAGCAACTTGGATGTATGATGATTAGCAGAACTTGCAGAACACTTACTGACCCCTAGTCAGTGACTGTGCAATGGTCACCAACTCTAGCCTTGGAGATCTACTTTCCTGCAGAGTTTAGTTCTGACCTGCACCTAACACGAAGCCCCTCTCTTTTACTGGATGCTAAAGCATCTGATCCAGCCAAGATCAAAGACTTCTGAAGACGTTGTGGCACATGGTGGCTGGAGCTAGACTCCAAAGTAGAGTAGATCTACAGGATCAAGGTTGGTGACCACAAGTCTCCAGAAAAGGACATACATTTGTACATGTTTACCTGATAATTCCTCACTCCATCCCAGCAGCTGGTTTGATTGGGGAGAGCTTTAAGGTCCTCGATTCCAAACTGCAACATGCATTCATTTATGAGACACCAGTGTAAAACACCATGATCATTATATGAACGATTAATAGAAAAAGCAAAATTACAGCATGTTTTCATTGGTTGTCTGTCCAGGAAAAAAATAACTCCACTTCTGGACACAGAATGTCCTGGAACTGTAGCATTTTCATATGTTTGGATGTCTTATAAAGTTTAAACTGCTTGTTTCATTCAGTCAAATCATTTGTATACAAAGAATGACTTTGATTGGTTCAGATTGCCCTTAATGTAAGGACAATTATTTTGGAAAGGTGCACTGTTAGATGTCAGATGTTTAGGCAGCACAGCAACAGGATAACTGAAAATTAGGTTCTGTAGCTGAACTGACATCTTTCTACCTTAGATTGCACTGTGAGCACCCATCCATCCTCTGAATTCAGTAAAAAAAATGGCCATTGACTGACTGTCCAGTAATTTTACAGAGCTGAGTACTCTAGTAGTTTGGACATGTTTAGTTGTGCAGTGGACCTACGAGGCTGACATAACAGAAGTTGGGTCACATAGACTTCCATTAGTTGTTACATTAGCCCCATATTGCAGGTACAAAACTAAAAAAGACTTCCAAACACGTCTTAATTGCTTAGCTATATTTGAGTTAAGGTGAAATATCTGTACATCTGATTTTTCAGTGACAAACATCTTTAAATGACTGTAGATGGTAACATGGTCAGCACCCAGGTTTACCTTCACGTCCACTCCGTTCTCAATTCGACTCTCAGGTTCGGACTTCATCAGCCAGTGACTGAAGGTCGTGCCTGATGACCTGCCACTTTTCTGTTTTTTCTGGTCCTGGGGCTTTTCTGCAGGTGCTGCTCTCTTTCTTTTCCGAGGTTCCATCTGAACAGCATCTCCCTCAGGACAGGCTTCACCTGCACCACAGATCAAACGTTCACATGTAAGACAAGACTGAAGCTGGCTTCTTATTCGAATTTTCCCGTTCCACCTTAAATGGCGCAGCAGTTGCATTCTGAGCCTGAGGCGCCAGAATGTACCGCTGCGCCATTTAAGATGGAACGGGAAAATTCGAATAAGAAGCTGACTTCGTTAATATAATGCAACCTGTCTACCTGCGCTTTATTCAACTAACGTTAATTCCAACCACTTACTTTCTGTATTAGTTTTGGCTGCTCCTCGCGGTGTCTGCTTGGGTGCCATTTTTCCACACAGATAGAGCCACAAGTTCAGCAGGGGCTAATATGAGTGATGGGACCCTTGAGTCTGAAGCTTCGAGGGGTGTGTCAAAAAAATGAAACCCATTGCTTCGAATCACTGTGTCGGTGCTTGATTCGTTCTACAATGATCATGTGACCAATGACGTCCGAAGCTCGGGGCGCGCTTCGAGGGTCGTCCGGAGAGAGAGAGAGAAAGAGAGAGAGAGAGAGAGAGAGAGAGAGAAAATAAATTTATTTTTAATACATTACTGTTTTATGTATTGTAACAGAATACATTATTCACCCATCAAAGTTTTCTGCCAAGCCCTGGATGTGTGCAATGAGATGTTGAAGACGCGCACAACAATTTAGTTTTATTAGTTTATTTTATTTAAACAACAGATACCGTGGTTGTAATGCACTCGAACACAGTTTTAAAAGCTGTAAAACGGATGTTCGCCAGATACACGAAGCACTTTGAGCTTTTGGCCACCAGATGGCACTAATGTGAACTGTGTCATGAAGCTTCGAGTAATGAACCTTTTTCGACACAGGAGGACAGATTCAGAGCTCCAGAAAGCTTCGGTTTGCCATCACTAGCTAATATCAATAGCTAGATCTATCATTAGCAAAAGCTAAAGGGGCAGTCATGCTAAAGAGTCACGAGCAGTGCTAGTTGCATTTTGAAGCTTACGCGCATTCAGTTAAAACTATAGTGGTTAATAACAGGCGCACAGACACGCCTAGTATGTGAAAACTTGCCAGTTTTGGCGAGCACTAAATACTAAACTTACCATTACTTCATCCAGAAAATCACGTAGTTTGAAAAGCTTTAATTCTTTAAAAATATGTTACGTATGCGTTTATTTGTGTGCGTAAATATTCCGCGTACTTGATGTGCTTGAGGCAGCCGTCAGAACTACATTACCCATGAGCACGGTTATGTCACCACACATCAGTGAATGTGAATCAACATGGCAGCAGCCGCGGCTCTATCTAGACTGGCCCGGCTGGGCTCATACGGCATTAGCAGAAGCAGAGGTTTAATATTTAACAGGATACAGAGGAGGGGAATCGCAGCCTGCATTGACCGTAAGTTTATACCAACATTTAGAGATATTCTGGGTGAATGTAGCAGCGCTAAAGGCCGAATGGAGCAGTTGTACGAGTTGTATCATAAGCGGTGTCGAAGACTCCAGCTGTGTTCTTTCTCCTAGCTTTGGTTTTGTAATCATCAACATCATCATGTCGGATTTCACTGGGTGAATATTAATCTGTTTACAGAGTATCCTTAATTCGGGGTGAAGATTCAAGAGAACCTGATTGGCTGTGCGCAGGGAGTGCGCTGGAATCCCTTACATTCAGCAAAACCTTTGACATTGACTTAATTTCGACTTTGACAGCATACAAGTGAAAAAGAAAAACTGTGGTCAGTACGTACAGTACAAAGAAGGTGTAAAGAAACTGTACAAAGCGCCTGCATCTCTTTATGGTGAGGAAAGTGAATGCTCCTCAAGGGTCAGAGCTTTTCTATTGGTCAGCACTTGCTCGATGAGCTCCACCACTCCGGTTTGGGGGTGTGTAACTGACCGTGCTGCCTTTAAGAGGCACTGCAGCGCCGCTGAAGTGTAAATCAGAAATTTGTTGTAGAATTACGAGGTTGTGCAACGAAACACGGGTGATAATTGCTCATAATGATGTGCAGTTTCCAGAAAGTTGATATTATAGCTATCATTTCATGTATATTTTTCCTTGTCAGCAGCTTTGAGTAGTATCAATGAAGTCATATTGCAATTTGAAGTTATTTTCTTTAAAAGTCTCTTCTTTGTCTTGTTACAGCTTCTATAGGTCTGACGGATGAGCAGAAAGAATTTCAGAAGGTGGCATTCGATTTTGCCGCCAATGAAATGGCACCACATATGGCAGAATGGGACCAAAATGTAAGGAGAGGCTTTTCTGATTCATTTTTTGATCTGTATTAGTTACATGTCTTCCTTTATATAGCACTTTCATTTTACAAAATCACAAAGTGCACAGGAATGTGAGTAAAACATTGGCAAAGGTGGGCAGTTCAGGTCCAGACAGTAAAAATCCTCCCCATGATTTTGTTCCAACCCCCTGGTTTCTGTATTTGGCTTACACCAGCAAGCTGAGGTGTCCTGGCAGTTGGAAAAAAAACCTGGAGAGGATTTTTGTTTTCTGGACCTGACCTACCCACCTCTGAACAATGGAAAGATAAAATTGCTACGATCTAAATGAGAAATAACAGTATAATTACGGACCACAAGCAAACGTAAACTCTGCTCTAGGAACAATGCTCTATGAATATGCTAGCCTAGATTAATGTTTTTAATCTGGATTTTAAAACACCTGTCAAGCTTGCATTCCTAATATACTCTGGAATGCTGTTCCAGACTTTAGGAGCTTTATGAGAAAAGGATCCAACACTGAGCTGTTGGTGATCCTAGTGGTCTGCAGTGGGCATGTCTGATTCCAAACTTTAACAGTATTGTGTTTATACATATATTCCTGAAGGAAATCTTCCCAGTGGAAACCATGCGAAAAGCTGCCCAGTTGGGATTTGGGGGGATTTATGTGCATCCAGAGGTGGGGGGCTCCGGGCTATCTCGGCTTGACACCTCGATCATCTTTGAAGCCTTGTCCACAGGTTGCACCAGTACCACCGCCTACATCAGCATTCACAAGTCAGTCTGCCTATAAGAATGCTTTAATACACAGTATATGTTTTTTTTTGCGTGGCTGCTCAAAATGGCAGGTGTTCTTGCTTTCTTACAACTGTTTCACCTGAGTGGATCTTTGCTGCTTGCGTTACAGTATGTGTGCCTGGATGATTGACACGTTTGGTAGTAACGAGCTGAGAGAGAAGTTCTGTCCTGATCTCTGCTCCATGGAGAAGTTCGCCTCCTACTGTCTGACAGAGCCTGGTGAGTAAAAGAGATGCTGTTGATTTATGCGTCACACTCAAATATGTAAAATTCCACTACTTTAGTAGCAGCCTTGTAGATCCAGTGCAAAAATAAAGATGCAAAGTTGAGACACAAAACCAATCTTGGCTGTAGAGATGGACGATATGCCAGCAATATGATATCGCAATACTTCAAGATATTTTTACAGTACACTGTGCCACAGTATTTATTTTTTCAGACATCTGATCAGTTGGAACTGAGAAGCAAGAACCAGTAGTGCTACACCGTGTTACACTAAGTCCAGTTAAATGGGACTAATTTTGCTGTGTTAATAATGAAACATGCAGTTGGTCAGTGTTCTACAAGTATTGTGACAGTTTATCATGGTAATGATATATCTTGTCATATTGCCCAGACTTAGTTGCCTGACTGACTGACTGTTTGAAGTAGAGGAGCGCGAGGCTCAACCTGATGCAGTGTAAACTGTAACATGGACTTTATGTAGTTAAAGACATTGAAGCAGAACATGCTTTTATCATGCTCATGGATTTCAGTGGCACTGTTTTCTGTAGATTTTCACAGCAATCAGACAGACACATATTTCTCAGTATTCACCTTGACTGTCTTTGTTTCTGATTACTGAGTTGTTCGTGTAGAAGTGTGCAAAATATTCACGTATAAAACACCTGTATTATTTTAATAACCCTCTTGTTAGCATATTAACACTTCTCTGTGAGAATTATTCAGGCTGAATACAGGTCTCTGCGTGGCGGGGTTAGTTTTAACACAGTGTTACAACTGAGCCACCCAACATAAACAATGATATAACTCAATTTCTCCCCATATTCAGAACAGCAGATCTCTGCTTGAAACATACTAAAATTTTACTTCTTCTTCAAGGCAGTGGCAGTGATGCTGCATCACTGTTAACCAGCGCAAAGCTACAAGGAGACCATTACGTCCTGAACGGCTCTAAGGTACTGAGTTCTTCATCATACAGTCTTTAATGAAGTGAATATTAAAGGCAGGGCTCTTACTGTTGTATGTGTATCTTCTTTAGGCTTTCATCAGTGGAGGAGGGGACACAGATGTGTATGTAGTGATGTGTCGTACTGGTGGGAAGGGTCCTAAAGGGATCTCCTGTGTGGTGGTGGAGAAAGGAACTCCAGGACTCAGTTTTGGCAAAAAGGAGAAGAAGGTGAGCTTGTATGTGATGAGAACCAAGAAATAATTTCATTATTTAATGGAAAATGAATGAAGGTCCTTTTGGACTTTCACTGGAATTCTTCTAAAACTGAGTTGCTTTGCTGGTCAGTCAGTCTACGCTTCTCGTATTTGTTAATAACATTAGATGTACATATCACTGGCAGAGCAAAGCCTTGTATCACAGAAATAATAAGGGTATAGGTTATATAGCTGTATGCAAAAGTTTGGGCTCCCCTGGTCAAATTACATGTTTTGTTGATTTTTCTAAGTGAAAATACGTTAACAGATCCTCTGCAGAGAACACAGTTCTGCACATTTGCACATAATGTAGAATTACTGTTTATTTGCTGAATTTAACATAGAAACAATAAAACACAAAATGGTCTGTGCAGAAGTAATGGCACATTTTATATTTTATGTTTTCTTTTTTGCAGTGTTAAAATTGTGCACTAAAATTAGCAGAGAAATGTCATTTAAACAGGTGGTGTTCAAACTTTTGCATAGTTATATACACCAGAATAAAATCCTTTTTCACTGTTTCACAATTATTATAGATTAAGTGAAAAGACCAGTGAATCTTTCTGTGGTTAAAGCAAGAAGGATGGGTCTTGTTTGTTTCTCTATGCCTAAATATTGGCTGAATATGACCAAAAATATGCCATAGTGTTAAGCAATAGCGTATATGCACTGTTATACCCCTAAAGCACATTGAAGATGCTCCAAAGGTTCTGTAGCATGGACACTAGGGGGCAGTAATGACAACCGTTCTGTCCAGCCAAATAACCTCCATCTATATATCTGCTGCTTCACTTACAGGTGGGTTGGAACTCCCAGCCGACGAGAGCTGTTATATTTGAAGACTGTGCAGTTCCGGTGACTAACCGGCTGGGATCAGAAGGACAGGGCTTTAATATTGCCATGAAAGGCCTTAATGGGGGCAGAATTAACATTGGTGAGTTATCAGATGAAAAAGAGTGCATTGGAATCAGTTTATCTGGAGTTTCCCCGAAGCACTGTAGTATTTAAGATACAAAAAATAATATTCTCACCACCATTTTACATTGATCTTAGTTTTGGCTGACTTTTGTAAGGTCACTCCTGAACTGTGGGATTTATTAGTCTATTAATTTTGCGTTCCAACACATACACGTTTGCTTACATGCCATTTATGCCATTCCATATTAATCTAGAAATGTTTAGGCAGACAGTTGTATTTTTATGACGGTATTTGTGGACTTTAAATAAGAATTTACTTAATTGTGTTTTAGATTTTTTGCATACCATTGCTCTATTTCTGTTGGTCCATTCACAGTGGTGAACATGTACTGTACCTATTTCAAATATCTGTACTAACGCTCGCTCCACTACATTTCATGGTAAAATGTTCTACCTTTTATTCCACTAACACATTTTCTGAGATATTTCTTTGATCTTGAGTTCTTGAAAATGACATAAAATGTTCTTTGCCTCAACATCTACATGTAATTAAACTGATATCTAATTGTAATTAAAGTCTTCTGTTGAATCCACAGCATCCTGCTCTCTTGGAGCGGCTCATGCATCTGTTCTGTTGGCTCGAGATCATATAAGTGTACGCAAACAGTTTGGAGAAACTCTTTCAAATAGCCAGGTAAGGAGTCTTTGTTAATGACCTTTTATTACTTTTCTGGCATGATGGTAACTTAAAACAATCATTCTTCATTATTATTATATTATCATATTATTATTGTTGTTATTGCTAATAATGTTATTATCTGGGGTTCTCTTCAGTTCCTGCAGTTTAAGTTGGCTGAGATGGCCACCAGGCTGGTAGCGTCACGGTTGCTGGTCCGGCAGGCGGCTGTGGCTCTGCAGGAGGACAGGCCGGACGCTGTCTCGCTCTGCTCTATGGCCAAGCTCTTTGCCACTGATGAGTGCTTTTCAGTGAGTGCTGGTGCTTTGTAGATTAGTTGTCATTTAGGTTTGCAGTTATCTTAGTTCATCTGCAGTTAAACTGTTGCTGTGTTCAGAATCGTTCACTCATTATCCTGTTTACTGTTTACAACATGGAGAATGACCATGGATGGACTGAAAAATGTACCATTGAGAACTTGAACAGTATTGCAGAAAGGTTAATACATTATAATTGTAAAAATATAGTTGTAGTGTTATTACATTCTCATTATTATTACATTATCTTTATTTAAATTAAACAGTACTTAAATGTGTATGATATCCACTTAAATTCTGCATAATTTAATTGTTGAGATGTAAACAGTCATTTATGTTGGTTTGGTGTGAGATGCTCCGTTCTAGAGAAATGTACTGAGTCAGAATTGTTCACAGTGGTGGTGACAGGAACCAGATCTCTGAAGAATTTACTGCCTCTTACTGAAAGTTATTACAGGAAATGGATATGCATACGCTGCCTGAGTCATTGTTTTATGATAACTTTGAGGTAAGATTTTGGCCGACTGTTTACTGTTTACTGTTGAAAACCCAGATAGATACATACAGGGTATTGTAACAAAATATAGTAATGCAAAGAAACTTTTTTTCCCTTTCTTTCTTTTCAAATTTCCCATTATCAGTGTTACATGTAAAGAACACGTGTGTAGGTTCACTGGATGGTAAATAAAATGGCTATTTGCTTTGTAGACATCGCAACCTCTGGCTCCTATCACCACCACTGTAAAGAAATTTGAGTGAGTACGTTTCTCTAGACTGCTGCATTTTACATTAAAACAACCTGAATGGCTTTGTTTACATCTCAGCAGTTGAATTATGCAGAAAGTTTGAAAAACTAGTGGAATTCCACTTTAATGAATACCTTAAGTTTATCATCATATGTCAATATTCATTTGCATTCGAACAGTCGTGTGTCTTGTATGTGATTTGACAGCTGATTTGTTGCTGCTGTACTGCAATTTAAAAAAGTTCCTAACTGTCTGTCTCTTCGCAACCCACACTACCATATGGTTTCAAGTATTCCATGACTCAACACACATGGACCAACTTATTTACTGATTTTTGACTCCATCATGAGTATCAGGTGTGTTGGGCCAGGGAACAGCTGAAAATGCAGTGCTGTGGGTCACCAGAAATGCTATTCTAGTTAATAGTGAAGGTACTGACATTTTCTGAACAGTTTTCTTTTCTTTTCTCTTGTTCTTGCAGATATGTAACCAGGCTCTACAGATGCATGGGGGCTATGGCTACCTTAAGGACTATGCAGTGCAGCAGTTTGTTAGAGATATAAGAGTACATCAGATATTGGAAGGTAAGCCCATAATAGAAGGTGTCTTTGTGTTTTTAAAGGGCTCATATAATGGGAAACTTAAATAAAAGTTTGATGTAGTGTGTAAACATTGTTAAAGTTTCAAACATACCATTGACTCTCTTCTCATACTGAAACAAAGCTGCAAGAACTGCCCATTTTGAATTCACATTTGTCCTAATGTCACAAAAACCAATGTGTTTACATATAACTGGCTATTAAGCCTAAAGCACTTTAGCTCCAACAATCTATGCTCAAGTTCTAAGGACTGTTTCAGACAGGACTGCTTTTTGAATGAGGCACAATGCAGGGACCAATCAGAACAGAGCTCAATCACATACAGCAGTAACAAAAACTTCCTGTTTAAATAAAGGGATAAAGTGAGGTTAGAAATTGTTTCGGGTAAAATGAATTATTTTTAATGCATAAAACCACACTTACATTAAAGTGAAGCTTGGAGGGGGAAAAAACAATGAAATAGAAGGAAAATATAAGATATGGGCGCTTTAATGCTGTTAAACATCCATCCTGAAATATTTTACTGGTACTAAGAAAATATTTCTTATTTCTGGAGACCGAAAGGTCATAGTTCCAAAGTCAGCTGGTATTTTCTGGTGATTCTTCATTGAAAACACTTTGTATTGTACTACTAGTTAACTGGCAATGACGAGAGCGTGTATGTGAATTAAACACCTGACTCTCTCATTTAGGTACCAATGAAGTGATGAGGATGATCATTGCCAGGAATTTATTGACAGAGTCTTGATCATCTTAGGACTCCAAGCACAGAACGGACTCTCTCACACTGGTGCTGGGCTCTTGTGTACAACACTAACCACATCTTCATCAGTATTCAGTCTCTGAATGAAGAGATTGATGGGATTTTACAGACTGTAGTCATAGACGTCTCTAAATTGTGCTTTTATCGTATATTCCATGAACTGGTCTAATAAGAAATCCCTGATGAATACGGTTTGGCATAGAGATTATATGTTTGATTTCAATCTGGTATCTTTCCTTTTGTTTCATAATGTAGTTTCATTGTAAGACCTTGGATGCCTTTTTGTCCTGTACATATGCATGGGAAGAGAGGAGAAGAGAATAATGTGCATATAGTTATGGGTAGTATTGACCTGTAAGGATATGAGAAACATGAACAGACTTATCAGCATTCATGTGTTTTCATAGCAGAGATATGAATAAGCTACATTTTCCTTTGAGTATACTGCGCCTGTTAACAAAAGAAAAACCCTTCAGTTGTACTTTGTCAAAGGTAAGGATAGACACTGCTTTTTTGATGCACATGTGAAAGTATATAGACTGTTCAGAATGTGCTAGCTTTAAGATTTGCAGTACATGTGGCTGACTGCAATTAAGGGGTCCAAGCACTGCAACACAGTAGTGAAATACTTGCATGGAAGCACTTGTTATTTGCTCACTGAAGATCCAGCATAATTCTGTGTAGAGCTACTCTCGCTGAGTGTGTGTACTCTATGGGAAGGGAAAGGTTTGATTTGTTCAATTCCAACCTCTTAATTTTATGTACCCTCTAGCTAATAATCTTAAACTCAGCTTTGGACCTGTTGAGTTTCAACAAAACAAAGTTGGATTGTTCACCAGCTCTGTTTCTTCAGTGTTACTACAGCTTTGATTTCCAAGAACCACCACCAAATTTCCATCGACGAAATATTTTGTGTGTATGGGGTTATTGGGCAGGTTACATATTTATTTTTGGAAAAGTAAAAGTACAATAGTGCATACGGAAGAAAGTCAAAAAAGTCATTCAAGTCTCCTATCATGCATTTCATAATTAAACACAACTTTGAAAATAAAGCACAAAAATGTACCATTTTTGTTTGTTTATCATTCAGGATATTAGGTAGAAAACAAGTACAGTAACATACTTGAAAAAGACATACTGCTGAAGAAGCCTTCATAATTTTTTTCTTTGCAGGCAAAATGTGATGCCATGAAGATCAGAAAGTCATTTATGTGATTTGGTACACTGAATGAAACTAATACTGAATATTTTTTACTTTACATTACTCCTGTTCTATTTAAGAGTCGACCACTGTTAAACACCACTGGACTAATTATTTAGCAGTTTTACACACCTCAGATACAAACAAAAGAAATTATGGTTGTTTATATTTTTAGAAAATGTACAGTTACAACAAATGTACAACAAACAAATTTACAAAAAATGTCATGACAAAAAAATCTCTTGTCCAATATCCTGTTAGCTAAAGTAAACAGTTTACTGATGAATGAATCATTTAGTCATGAAGGGAAGGGGTGGTCTTACACCAGTGGGCTGAAGTGAGAGACTCTGAGTGAAGGGTGATCGTCAGAATGACCAGAAAGCAGTGGGCCCTTTGACGACTTCCGCCACTCTGCAGGATCTACATTCATCCCTCTGAGGAAAGAAAATCGAAATGAGATACTGAAGAGACCAGTTCTGTTCATTAACACCTGAACGTCTATATCTACCTCATCTCATTCTTGTCAGTGCGTTGGTGAGCTCTCTTCCTGTAGCAGACGAGGTAGGCCACCACTGCTGCGATCAGCAGGGCGAAGAGGAAAATGCCCATCAGCACCCCACCAACCACTGCTGCAGTGCCACCATCTGTATAAAAAAATATATATTACATGCAAAAAATATATTACATGCAATCACATTACACAACCTCTGGTAAAACGAATCCAGATCGAATAGTGCTTTACTTAATTTAGGTTATTATATCAAACTCACGTGCCACTTTCACAGATATGCTGCACCCTGCTTCGCCCAAATCATTTGATGCTCTGCAAGTGTATGTCCCAGCAAAGGCAGCAGACAGGTTAGTCAGCATAAGAGAACCAGTACGCTGATCTGGAAGACAGTATGTATGTATTCCTTCAGCAGATGATCTAACAAATCAGCAAGTCAGTTAAAGTGACAATTTTTCAGAATTGTCTAATTTGCTTAAATGTAGGCATTCAGACTGTTTGTTGTCAGGAGTTTACGTCTTTAATTTTGCACTGGAGTTATGAGGCTAATGTATCGATCAAGTACTAAAGCTAAAAATAACACCAATTAGCATTATGTAAGCTGCATGCCAAAATCATGACACGCTGACCACATCAAATTGTTGATTAATCTCAAACAAACTAGCACGTGGTTTCTAGCACTGTTTGACATACTGTTATCTATAAAAAAATATATATATAAATATATAAAAGCACCCTGCATATCTAACAGCAGCCACTTTGAAGCCTGAATTATGTCCATACCTTTGTCTATTTCTATTCTATTCTGATTTTTTCTTGATCACAAAACAGTATATTGAATTTCAATTCAACAAGAGATTCAAAAAGAACCCTGTAGGTCTGAGGCAAACCTTGAGGACTTTGAAATATCAGGTCTTGGATATCAGCAGAGCTGTTTCATGTTTGTTCGGCAAACATGCATTGGTTTCAGGTGTTTTAGATAAGCTTGAGGGTTGGGCTCAGCTGCACAGTGTTTATGTGTCACAGTATTAATCACCTGAAGGCCTCCAAGAAAAGCTTGTCTTAAAGGAAGCAGCACTCATTATATACCTTCCACCATGCTGTTGGGGGGCAGAGGGGCTGCATTCTTCTCTCGGCTCCAGGAGTAGATGGGTGTAGGAACGCCATGGGAGCTCGCACACGTAAGAGTGACATCATTCCCCACGTAGGTGCTGCCGCTCAGCTGACACACAGGCACAGATGGAGGCACTGAAGGAGGAAGTGCGTATAAATAGTAAAAGTATATGCTTGAAATTAAAGACGCTCCAACATCAATAGCAGCATCAGTAATCCTATCAGCATGCCCAATACTGGTGCCACACCATGATGTTATATTAAGTCCACATCATCCAACTGTGTAAAGAGGGACGTTTAATCAATACTCTATTGATTACCACTTAATTGATCCACATACTGGGCTTCTGCACAAATACCCATTGACTGCATTAGAAACACTGGAATTAGTATTGAGTGGTAAGACTGACTAAAAAGAATGTTCCCTATTGCTGGGCCACAACATCAGTTTCCAGTATTATAATGTGTTAGTGGAGATTCTCATTGATTTTCCAATACCTAGCACAGTCAGGTTAATCAGACCCTGTCCACTGCCAGACCAGTCCTTTGGATTGGTGACATCACAGATGTAAAGGCCAGCGTCGGAGGGCTGGACACTGAGGATCTTCATAGAGGCAACACCCGACACCGGTGGGTTCTGCACTAAAGCCACTCTCCCCTCCCAAGAGTTCACCCAGTACAGATGCCCATTGTAGTACATCACCTACACAAAAAAGCCTTTTAATTCAGTGCAAAACAGGGTGCACGACATATTGGTGGCCAATATATTATTCACTGAAAATAGGAAATTATTATTAATCATTTGAAGGTATAACGATGTATATGTAAAGTTATGCTCTTATGTGAATTTTTCAGTTTCAGCAGATGACAAGGTTGCAGCAAATGTTCAGCCAAAGTACAGCGAGCTACAAGAGTTTCAGTAATATTAATCTAGTTAGTCATTTAAAAACTCATCATTCTAGTGATCAAAAGAATATGAGGCAGCAAGCATCAGCAGGAGGCACCAAATTTCTCAAATGTCTCTGCCACTTGGGGGGGGGGAGTACAACATTTTTCTGCAAATGATAAAACACAATTACTTTATATTTGATTAATTTAAGAAATAGAAAAGTATGACACTGTACTGTGTTGTAACTGATACAACTGACATAACAGACTTACTATCTCATTGACTTTATATCTCTATATAACTTTATATCTTATACCTTTATATCTTGTATCTCAATAATTAGTAAGTACCTCATAATTGTGGCTTAATACCTCATAATAAGAAACTTTCTCAATGATAAGTATTTCTCAACATACAATTTCACAGTTTCACAACTGAGATAACTACTTCTCATAAACTTTTGCCTTATGAGATGTTAAGATATTAAAATTATGACCTAGTTTTTGGCTCAATTTTTCTCAAATTGCAGAAAGTCTTCTTTATATATGGATTATAGTGTGAACTTGTTTTAAAGAGCACAAAAGTAATTTAATCAGTTATTATCTGTTTCAGTATCAGCCATAACAAGGTGTTATTGTTTTACCATTAGCCTAGAACCTCCACAGCCGTTTGTGAGCAGTAGAGACCAGTGCTGGTTGCATTAAACTACCCATGTTTAAGAGCTAAATTTCCCCAACCTAAGGGTATACTCCTAAGGGAATTAAATATATACAGCACAAAATGGTTTCTGATTAATAAAAATTTGATTGTTACTATGGAGACAGCTGGCTTGCGGGCTACAAGATGTGTGATTGCAGTTAAGATGCGATAAACAAAACTAAAAAACACACAAGTAATATTTTCATTTTAATTCTTTAATTCCTCAGGGTAGACGGTGCGTTCATCATCATCATCCGGTGCAAAAATCCTAATTGTTTTTAGGATTTTAATAAAGCACAAACAGGCATAAAGAGAACACATAACTTTAAGGGTTGGTGTCGTGGACAGGGATTAAGCCTAATCTCATATTACACAGAATTCTGGCTGGAGATTCTCTATTGAACGGAAATTGTAGCCCAGATCTAGGCTTGACCAAGAAACCAACCCCAAGTGTCCCTTGGGGATGTTTTTTATGCAACGAGGCCCAGATCCTCGGCACTCACCCTCTGTGCCTGGATGGCAGGAGTTCCGGGGGCAGCGTAGCGCCACTCCAGAGTAAATCCCTGAGACGCATGTGTGCTGTAGCTGCAGGAGAGCTCAGCAGAGGCTCCAGAGCGGGCGAACACGGAGCTCTTCACCACAACTGCCTCCCATGACCACGCTTCACCTGAGCAGGGGGACAATTCAGGGATGTGACTAAGCAGTTAAGGGGAAAAGTCCCTAATAAGCCCATATATCACCCAAGACCACTTTCACTTTAATTGGAAATAATTAACAATTGCAGAACTTTTTGCTTCTACAACAAACAAAAAATACTGGCACCATTTTCCACTAGCTTTTTCTTGTTTACTCAGCTTCTGTAAATAACCAATTGTAATGACGGACATTTGGTTAGCACTAAAATAAATATTCAGTTCTAGCAAGTACTCTTCTGGAGCAAAGCTGTACCAACTTTGCTTCTTTTGTTTGGTGAGCCTTACATTCCTGCTCAATCAAAACTTCCTGAAGTTGAGATAACAAAACAAGGTCATTGGAAATCAGTGCCGAGTCATATTAATCTGTGTCGTTAAACTAAAATGGCGCCGTTGGTGTCGAGCTCTAATAACCCGGAGTGAACTCAAGACATTTAAGAAAAAACTGTCCAAACAGTAGCTATTTTTGGTGCTTGGGCCATAGAAAATAAAACAGATTTTTGTTCGGGGTCTGCACAGTAATAAAACAAACTAAAATAAAAGAATTTAATTGACATCCTGAAAAAGAAACAATACAGAGTAACAGGACAAACATTCCTACAAGAAAGCGAAATACAACATGGTGGTTTTATAGACTCATGCATGTCATGTGATAAATCACATGATCGAGTCAGGTAAAACCACCACTTACTGCAATTCTCAGGGCAAAGACGCCCAATTATCTTGCAAAAATGACTTCCCAGATAAAAATACAGTCAGCTCAGACATCAACAGTGTAGAAGCACAGTCAGCTCAGGCATCAGCAGTGTAGAAATACAGTGGACCTACCTCAAAATGTGATAATGTCTAACCCACCTGGCCTAAATATTCGTCAAAGATGGCCAACTTACGAAGTCTAATAATAAAAGGTCATTACAGTGTGAGGCAACATGAATTTACTGTACATTAATTACATGTATCTGTGACTGTGTCCAGCCTAAAGGACTTGATGAGGAACTGCAGTGTTCTTGTTTTTGTAAGCCTGTTTGAAAAATCTCGTTTGTCTAATCACAGCGAAAACGTGAACAAGATTTAAATACGTCACTTTCCGTTCATAAAGACGGCATCCCTGAACTAGCGGCTGAAGTCAGATGTCACGTGACCAACAGCAGTTCGGGCCTTTACTAAAAATAAATACTCAAAAACCATCAGTGGTTTCAGCTCTATATTTACTGAATCATTATGTGGGTCATTCTACAGAGGTGGTTCAAAATACTGTCTCTCTCTAATGAACAAATGTTAAAAAAAAAACTAAAATAATTAGTTCAATGCAGTCCCACAGTAAAAACAATCTAAAAGAAAAACTGAATATTCAGACCTTAGACATTTACAAGAACGATCTATTTACACCTAAAGCATTAATTGAGATAGTAATAAGTGAAATATATATAAAATCATCATTTATAGGGTTCTTTCTATTGGGATGAGGCTGTCTACTAAATTTCAACTTCAGAAAAAAATACTTACATTTTTGTATTTTTTTTTTGTCCAATTGTTTTTATTTTTTAAGATTTGATGATTTAGATTTTATAAGTGTAATTTTTGAATAAAAACATTTTCACGTCCGTACCGAAATACAGTTTTAGTCCATAGGCGGAGCCGTATTTTAGCCACACCCGTGATCTTTAGAGCAGGAAGTGAGACTGCATCTGTGTCCCTCATGGCCACATGGTGAGCAGTTAGATCTCACTGTTTTGAAGTAAATGTGTGCCAAAGTCTGAAATTCGGTGTGTGACATTAAGAACTGTCACTACTGAAACACATATTTTCTGCAGTTAAACCATTTGTTTTTGTTGTTTTTTAATGAAGAATATTATTCATTTACGTGTGAACAACTGTTCAAAGCTATGTTTGCTGGTCATGTACTGGCTAGCATTTTTCAGTTCTGCTCAAAATGAGCTAAAATGGTCACTATCACAACAAATCACTACTGAAACATTTGATAAAGTGTCTGTAGTGTTGTGAATGTTCAATCATTTATTTTAATAAAATAAACATAATTTAATAAGCAAAAGGATTTCAGCCTAAAGTCCAGGTCAAAGTTTGAATTCTGATTTTCAGTAGAATGGTCTCTACATGAAATGTAAAAAACATTACATACGTCACGTTTATCACTTAGCAACACAACTAAACAATGTTAAATAATTAATTGATAAATATGCCATTCTATATTGATCATTGCATGTCCTCCAGCATAAAATTACATTAAAAATTAAACACTTAATTTTTTGGCTTCATTTATTAATTTTCTCTAATGTGTCATTTCAATTTCTTACAATTAAGTGAAAATGTGTTGCTCCAATCTCTAAAAAAACTAAAAAATTAAAAACTACATGTGCTCTCCTCAGTTCTGTTCCACTATCAAATCACACACAAATAATCTCTCTGGCTGAATCAGCATGTGATTAAATATGTGACCAGGAAGAAATAATAAACCTGCTATTTTATCTTGACCTCATGGTGAATTAAGTAGAATCTTTTAACATTTTAAAAACAGAAGTGTTACAAATTCAGAATAACATACATTTTTGCAAAAAAAGGGCACTATTGAAACACTTTAATACTTTTACAAAATTTAAGATTTGAGGTCTGAAAAAAAAAGAAATGAATTGTTCATAATTTCTGTTTTGTTTTTTCACAGAAAAAATAAGTCTTATGCTCTATACACATTTAGAGATGATTAGCTAAATTAGCTTGGATTGTAATAACTTGGATTTTATCTGTTTATTATTGACAATTGAGTTGTCAATTCATGATTTCTTTTATAAACATGATGCATTATATACTGTACACTGTATGCCATAATTTTACATTCTTTACTGAAAAAGGCATTCAGAGAGACGCAAATATGCCCAAGTGTACAACAGACTACATGAATATATGTAGAGGACTTTAACATTTGACATCGAACAAAGTAAATCCAGATCAATATTTATGTTAGATAAGTAGACATTGAGAAGATGATAAAAATGTGACTAAAACAGACCTCAACAATAGCAGAAAATATTCTTTATTGCTCAGTCAACAAAACGAAAAAAGCAAGATTTTTTTATACTGATTTTGTGTTGTTTCTGATGAACAAAATACAGAACAAAATAGATTTCACTGTACGCTGAGTGAATTTCTAAACTTCAGTTAGTCTGCAACACAAAGTTAAATGAATTTTAAAGGGAATAGAAAACATTTTTAACATTTTTCTAACCAAATCGAAGCCATTCAGTAGAACGGCCCATACATCAATTACAATGAACAGTTTTGTGTATATTTATATAATATTCACAATTATTTACATGGTGGACATGCTGATGAGTTGTTCAGGGAAATTGGTGTTATTTTATTCTTAATGTAGGCATTTCTGAATGTTTTCATTTTTGTGTGTAATTACTGAAAATGCTTTAATTTTTATTTGCCCTGCAGACACTAATAAGCCCACAAACTCATTTCTGTTAACAGATTCTGAATGGAAGCCTGACCTCTATAAAAACACAGGGGATACAGTATGAGCTGGGGTGAAATATAAAATCTGAAATCCATGAACAGAAATCTGCATATGTTTTTATTATTTTTTTACAGTTTAGCATGACAGCATCTCACTCTCACACTTTTTTTTCCACATGACCTGAATATGTATATAGACAAATATCTGGAGTTTTGTACAAATAAACATGTGAACACATGAGCAAATATGTATAATTAATACAAAATTACAATTAGCAGACCAACAGAATCTTAGTCAAATAGAAATGATTATTCAGAGGGAACAACCCAAACTCATGAATCATAATTAGTTGAATTGTTCTATTATAAATGGTTCCTGGTTTAAATATTTGTTATTAATCTTCCTAAAAGAGTCTTTCTGTTTTTAAAATTACAAAACATATTAATAAATATTCTGACATAAAACAGTGGGTGGACTTATTAGGAATTTCAGTGGGCTTAAAAGCTACAAAGTGCAGATTTTCTATCCCTTCTGTTCTTTTTTTTATTACATTGTTAAATAAATGATATAAAAGTTGCTTGATTAAGCTAAAAACGATTGAATTTAGTTTTTATATCACTAAAAAATAAAAAGTCTACAATATATACGTAAATACATTTACTTACATTTAGGTGGGCTTATTGGCGGCTTTTTCCTTTGTAATTGTGCATCATAGGTCCTAATACGCACTCATTCCTGAGTTTCCACTTGATTCTCAGACTTTTTCATGTTCACAGTAATCCGCTATCAGACTTGGTGCTGCACTCACCGTGTTTTTCATTTAAACACAAACGAGATTCAGTGAGTACAGTAGGCTGAAAAGCACTCCCAGACAGACTGGATGGTAGATAATGAACAGTTGACATCAAGGTTCCACGGGTATATTAATATAGAGGAAAATTAATATAATCTATGATAACAGCACTGATTTAGTCATTTGTTTTTAATTTATATTAAATAGGAGATCTACACTTAAACAGAAAATGATTAATATAACAAAAAGCATATAAAATGCAAACCTTTAGCATGAGGATAACACAATAAAGTTTATGTGGAAAAAAATAATGAAAAAGTAAGAAACATAAAAGCTAATTAAAAAAATTATGGGAATCTCCACCACCTGTGCTACAGTATTTAAAGGGTTTAAGACTTTGAGAGCTTCTGTTGTTTATTTGAGTTTAAGAAATGTAACAGCTGAGAATTCAATCATGCGAGTCATTAAAGAACGGCTTAACAAAATCTATTGCACTTTGTTTGATTGTTGACCACATAATGATCAGAATTAGGCCAATATTATCAGAATTTATAACTCAAAATCATGGTGACAAAATGTTCATGCCAGTCAGGGCTCTTAATGAAGATAACAGTCATCTAGCGTTATACCAGGAAGTATATCAGGAACCATTTTCAGCCTTATTATTCCAATGAGGGTGTTTAAAGGAGAAACTATAGAACATGGAGTTGTTATGCTCTGATCTTTGTGAAAAGGACACAAAAGTACTGCGGAGCAACTTTCAAGAATAAAATCTTATAGAATTTACAGTTTTCCAAACAGATGCGCTTGTAACAGGTTAGGTTCAGTTTCTCCCGTTATGTTTTCAGGCACTGAGTAGATGGGAAAATAATTCTTACTTACCAAAGCACAGGAGAAAGATCCAAGAAATGAGCACAGCCTGACTGTGAACCATGTTGCTTTATGTTTCTTACATGGAGCTTTCGTTTCCTTTCCGTTTACAGAGATAGCGTCCTGCTCCTGACTGGGTGGCGCTGATTAACAGTGGACGCAACACTCCCCAGGTGGTGCTCGGTGGTTAGGCAGGCAGGTGTGGCCACATGTAAATACAAATAAGAGCAGTGGTGAACTCTGTGAAGCTCTTCAGACCACTTTCAGGTAATATCTTTTATGTGTGGGAATATAGAACAAATACAGTAGAACAAGTGCAAATCTTTACATCAGTTTTTCATCAGAGCTGAACTGCATATCGAAAAATCAACAAAAACCAACAAGCTTAATTGTTGCATTTATTGAACAAGCAGAGTAATGTCCTGTAATTAAAATGAACATCAGAGATTTGGGCATTCTTTTTCCCTGTCATTAAACAGGCAGACATTTCTCTCGTCACCTTGCCCCCACCACGTGGACAAATAGGAAATAAAGGCTAGAGGATAAAAGGATTCAGTTGCAAATCAGAAATGCATGAACGTGTCTGCTGGAAAAAAGTCTAAGAAATGAAAAGAGATTGTGTTACTTATTTACTTATTGTGTTACTCACTTCACAACAACATTCTTTATGGTAAGAGCAAACCTCAAATCCAAACTACCTGCACAAAGCTTAATAGAATTAAAGCACTGACCACTACAAGGCTAGATCTTCTAACAGCCTAGGTAAACATGAACATAGCCATCGTTGACTGACAGTCTCTTTCCACAGAACATGATGAAAATTTGAAAAATTTTTTGGTCCTTTGAAATGAAATGACCACAATCGTGGGAGGGTATTCTTTTACATTCTCAAAGTGGATAAAGCATTGTATCATATGTGGTCTGTATTTCCCATAACTGTAAAAAATAACTTCTACCAAACTAACACTTTTCAGAGGAAAACTACTGTTCAGACTGAAAAATCTGTCCAAGGTTGGTTCAGAGAATAGTTGCCAAAGGTAGAAACTCCTGAGAAAAAAGGAGGCACAATGTAACATTTAAAGTTACAGAACACACTTAATACAGCATTGTTTACTCTGATCAAATCACTCAAACAAGACCTGTAACTGAATCCAGTAAACCATCAACTTCAGTGTCTGTTCAAATATCAGTAAAAGACTTTCTTCACTTTCTTCATTCTCTGAAGAGAAAATGTTCTGAATGCTAACAAAACAGAAATGGAATCCATGGAATCAAATGGATGGTTACATGTGTCAAATTCCCCAACTAAATGAAAAAAAACACTTTTGTTGAAAGTCATAGTTTCAAATTGTAAAGATCTAATTCAACATGTGTTTTAGGCATCTTGGCCTGCTGATTACACAAATTATAAATAAAAAAACACCCATACAATATACTTTATAAAACAAACTGCTACATAACTCTATTTTGTCTTAAATCTTCAATATAAAAAGTAACTCTTGATCTATGCACCAACTTAAGTAAGTTTTAGCCATCTGTTTGATGTGAGAAGAGGCCCAACTCTTTGCTTCCTGCAGTTCATCTCTTAGACGTCACTTGCAGAGTCACTGAGCATCAATGAGCGTATCTGCTGCGGTTGAGTCACACTGTTGTCAGAGTTGCCTGAGCTACACGAGTGAGCCGGCTTGGTTCTGGCTGGGCACGAGGACAGGGACGGCCCCCATGCGGGACAGTGTGGCAGAGTTGATGGGTGTGGGAGCAGGACGGGGGGCCTGTGGCTGAGCTCCTTCAGTCCTGTGTGTGGAGCTGCTGTCAGAGCTGGGGGGCCGTGTGTGTGGATGAGCTTGGTGGTGGTGTTGATGGTGGTAATGCAGGGTGTGGGTGGGTGTTCTGTTGCCGTTGTATCCTGGCAGCCCGTGGAGTGGGTTGGGATCTCCTGGACGCAGGCGGTAGGCGGTTGTGCTGCCGGACGCTGTGAGGACAGAGGCAGTGTTGCAGGCTCCAGGCGGGTACGAGTAGTGGTTGTTAGGCGTGTGGTGAGGGTCGCGTGGCGGAGGGCTGGTTGCTATAGAAGACAGAGTTCCATTCTTGGAGATGATGTCAGATCCAGTAGTGCTCTTAGCCCAAGAGACCCTTTTAGGAGCCTGAGCATCCTCCCTGCAATGAGACCATCGGTTAGAAGAGAGCAAATAGAAGCCAAATACTGATATAGTGAGGCAGCACACAGCGGACCTTATAGCAAGCATTAAAGAGCCAGCCAAAGAAAACTGGATATATGGTATTGTGTTTCTCAGATCATTTATGAACAGAGTTTTGAGATAAGGTTAGATTTAAGGTACAGTATTGTGCACAAGTCAGAGACCATTATTGATTTATTTAATTTCACGTCTAAATGACCATTAACTACAAGTTATTCATGTTTCCGTATCAGGAAAAAAGCAGAAAACATATATTTAACAGAAAATTACTTCAACAATGAAACATTATATTAAACTGTTCAGTATTTAATGTGCCCATTTGCCTTTCTGACAGCTTCCATTCTTTTCAGGAGACTTGCTTTCAGTTTTTAAAAATAAAATGCATTTTTTTCTCCACACCTCCAAAGAAACTAAAAAACTGGGTTGCATTTTCTGCTTCTCACAATTCAAGTAATCCCAAACACATTCAGTGATGTCAAAGTCTGGACTCTGGAGTGGTCGGTTCATTGTTCTGTGAACACCAGCAGCTTCTTTTTTTGATATAATTAATACTGATATCAGTATGGTAACAGTTGCTAACTTGCTAAGACTGGTTAGGTGTCAGTTTTGTTCTAGTAACCAGCAGCCATTAACCCAGAACCTTGAAGGAAAGTGGAGAAAGGCAATGTGTGAAAAGGTTGCCACTATTGCTCTTTAACACCTGCTAATATCCAAACATGTAATCTAAGGTATGTAGTGGACAATGGTGTAGTTGCCGAATAAATTAAGAGGGAACACTTCAACACCAGACAAGTCTCCTTCTTTTTCTCTGCGAGAAATAAATTATATCACATACACACTGACGCCAGTGCAAAAGTATTTTTTTCAAAGGAATAGCTCATCAAAATGTATACAAGTATGGACAAAATTCAAGTTTTAAGGCTGCTATTTTTGTGCTATTTAAGTTTTAAGGCTGTTTTTAGCTATGTGATACACTTTTGTCCATGTTAATTATAAAAATGTCATATAATGTCAGAATCCACATAAAGTCTGTTTGAGATGCGAGTTGGAGGTAAGTGTGTGATGATTTAGGCCTGCACTTTGCATGATGCTAATTCACTAAAAGCTACCATTACCTATTAGCCATATTAGCATTCTAGCTTCAGTGCCAAGAAATTTCTTACATTGATTCTTACATGTCTTGAATGACTGACTATATTTAAGTGTAAATTTGTTAAAAGCATCAGACATCCAAAAGCAGTTAATTTCATAATGTCTATCCTTTGAACCCTACATGTCACTTAAACAGATACATGCAGTGAAAGGAGAAGCTTGGGGCTCACTTGATATCATTGGCCATTTCCTCCTCTGTGTCACGGCTCCTCCTCAGGACGAAAATCAGGAACAGCACAAGAGCCAGCAGTCCCACCACTGAGCCCACTGTGGCTCCTGCTATCAGCCAGGCGTTGTTGGCTGCAGCGAAGTTCAAACAAAATTCACTTCAGTTACAGCAGAGATGTGCCAGCCAGCACATTAACACACAGGAGATGCTGCGTCATGCCTGCAAGCGGTACTTACGAGTAGAAACCTCCAAGTTGATGTGGCAGCTATCACTCCCGGCCGTGTTGCTCGCCCTGCAGACGTATTTGCCGGACATGTTTTTGGTCAGGTTGCTCAACCTGAGGGTGCCTTGCCTCTCATCTGAAAGCCAGACATCACAATTCATCTTTCTGTTACCAATGACCTTGCTGCAAATCCTTACAAGCTGTAAGTCATTAATGGTAATATTAATAACTAATATGAAACTTTGCGATCTCTCAAGATCTTGACATTCATTCCAGTCAAAAGGATCCTTTGAAAATTCTTCCACTGAAAAAATAAAAGATCTCTTTCAGGAACTACAGGGAACCACAGCACATGTGGAACATACGCAACACATTCCAGGTACAACATGTTGACACATCATTCCACATATGTTTGCTGGGTCATAGCACCAATAAGTCTAAGAAGATGAAAAGACATGCATTAAAATTAAAAATACAATCTACAGTAGCAGTTTTGCTGTTATTACTGGGCAAACAGGGATTGCTCTGGGATTGCACTTACTGCATGCCATCTGCTACCATAAGTTATGGCCCTCACGGACTGGCCCAGCGGGTCACAGGGAACGGAATGTTCAAAGAGCCTGAGATTTAACTCTCGACACTCTACGAGCATCAGCCACTCATAATAGCTCCATTATTACAATCTAAGCTTTAAACAGCAAAGCAGCTGGAAAGACCCTGAACTTGGACGTGTTAGGCTCATGTTTGTAACCAACAGTTTAAACACTTGGCAGATTCACCTACTTTAACCTTTTTAAAAATCAAGACAAACAACGTAGTTTGCCAAGTTAGTTCACATGCAAAAATGGCTCACAGCTGAGGCCTGACTGCTTGCCTTAAATGGATATTCTGGCCAAAATGAACATTTTAACACCATCACTGCATCTGAGGTACACATGCCTACTCATCTCATACAGTGCTGCCATAGGAGTCTAGATTTTCTGGTTTAAAGACTAGAAAAACGGCCTCCTCATGATGTATCACAAAGGTGGGAGGAACATTTGAAGGCCACAGCTGCTTTGGTGGGTGTTTTTTTGGGGCGGGCTGTTCAAAATGTTTTTTTTTTGTTGTTGTTTTTCTTGATCTGGTAAATGCAAAAGAAAGCTAGATAGCTAACATTACCGGATTGCTCCAGTGTATTGCTCAAATGATTTGTCAGATGTAGAGGACAACCAGCTAACAGCTAGCTGTTAGGGTAAGGCAGCTTACCTGGCTAACTAAATACCGTACATCATTTTGGCCCTTTTTTCGGTGGCTGAATGGGTAAAACCTTGTCTCTCTCATCCATATTTGCTAAATAAAGATAGATTTACATTTTTTGTGATTTTGTTCAATGACTGAGGCAAGAGTCACACCAATGCTAGCTTGGTTATATTAATTAGCCGATAGATCCGAGCCGAGGATAGCGGTCAGGATTGGTTGACACCACACAGATTCCCAATAGTTGTAGGACATATTTGTGTAATGCATTCTGGATATTGTAGAGAGAGAACACTGATGAACGAGAACAAGAAACTGATATAAAATCCATGCTGCAGAATACTCCATAACACAACAAATAACACATTAAACTCCAGAACAGCCTTTAAATAAACATGAGCATGGAATTACCAGATGCCAGATCAGTGGATGAAAAGCCTTTAAATGCTATTCAAACATTTTACACAGTGCTGCGTTGTAAATGTAGTGGAGGCCAAACTATTGATGCGGGGAAAAAACACCCTCTACAAATCTGAATCTACAATCTACAAATCAAGACATATTTTTTTTTATCTGTGCAAAAGCTACAATATAAGCTTGACTACATTTTGTCCCTCTGACACACTCTCAAGGAGCTAACAGTGGAAAATGAATCTCTACGCACAGAAGTGACAAATCAGAACCACTACTGGACTAGCCAAGCTCCATTATATTACATGTTAGGCCAGTTCATTGTTTTGTCTTATTTGGGCTCACCATGTCACCGTGCCGCCCTGCTTAAAGGAACAGTTTTGTGAAAAATCAAAAGTACACAGCTTCCTCTTACCCCAAATAGTTGGTTAACCAATGCATGTTTGGTTTGGTTTGTTTCTTTAGTTTTGCACTGGAGCTACAAGGCTAATGTAGCTAACAGGTAATGAAAGATATGAAAAGGGACAAAACTGCACTCACGTAAGTAACGACATAAGCAAATGTCTTTATTTAAGATTATTTAAGAACTTAATACGCAAAGTCAAGTTTGTGATGATGTAGTTTGGATGATGCTGTACCTGTGGCTGTAGGCTTCCATTACTTATTAGCGACATTAGCTTCATAGCAACAGTGCAAAATGAAAACTTTAAACATGAAATGTCACTTGTATGAATTTGATTTTTCACTTTAAAGGACTATTCAAACGTTTTCAGACTAAACTCAATCTGCTCTTTTGTATAGTTCATTACCACAAACAATAATTTTGTTGCATTTCCCGGTTTCATAAGACACAAATAGAAGCCAATGGGAGGGAGGCTGAATTCCATGAGAAAATGTTTATGCAAAACATACACATGAATTCTTTAGGCACAGGCAGGGGGTAACTATACTGTCGTGTTAAACCAGATTTTAAATCCAAGTCTTTACCGATGGAGCCCCTGTAACTGCAACATATAATGCAAAATATGTTACTTAAACATCTGTTACAAGTTTCTAATGGTGAATGTGAATATATGTCACCACAAGCTTGGCACTAACATAACAGGCCTACAGGGGCACTAGCAGAAATGACTGCATTACTGTAACACATCATAATCCGATAAATAAAAGTGACACGTTAAGCAAATTCAATGGCTTTTTGCCTTCCAAGCAAACACGTGCCAGCCGCTCCTGTCATTACACGAACACGTAACACTTCATAATAATGTGCAACTTCATGAGAAGGCGAATGGCCAGAAAACGGAAACCAGAAAAATGAAAAATGAAAAATGACTACCCTTTTCTGTTTTGCCGCAGTGTTTAAAAGTTGCATTAAACTTCAAACGAGTTTTGCAAGACATTTAAGACACTCATGTCTGTCCCACTGTAAGACCTGTACTGTTGTACTGTACTACTGTTGTTTTATGAGTGTATAGGTTGTAGTTTCAAGTATGTGTCATCATACGTCAGTGTTTATTCACAGAATTCAGCAGCTTCCCACTGACTTTAATTATAAGTGTTTTTGAGGGTACAGATTTTCTCTCCTTTTTCTTTACTATCATTTCTTCATACTGTTGATTACCATGGATGGTAACTTTGGACATGTTTCTCTGTTCTTTTCCAAGTACAGGGAAACACATCCAAAGTTGCTGTCCGTGGTAAACAACAGTACGATACAAATGTGGCAGATAGAAATTAGGTTGAAAACCGCTGAAACATTCCTTTAAATATTGTTATTTGGAGAAATGCCTGGGTACTAGAAGGGAGATTTTAAGCCTTTAATACCGAGTTAAGCAATTACAGAGAAAACTAACATATCTATCTAATTTCTAGCTCAAGCGGAACCTAGAGAGTTTTCCACTAGGCTAAACGCTGGACAGGGACTGGGGTTGGGGAGCACGGCCAGAGTCCTTACCCAGGTAACCCAGCACAAGCACAGGCTGAGGACACGACCTCCACTCTGGTAGAGCAGTGGAGAGAAACAGTGATGAGAGTGTTGGTGCAAGCATGTGTGAATGTGAATGACTGACAGCGGGAGAGAGAAAGTGAGAGAACGAAGACAAGCGGCAGAGAAGGTGTGTTAGAGAGAGAGAGGGCAACAGAGAGAGAGAGAAGGAAAGAAAGAAGCAGATGGAAAGAGTGACAAGATAGAAAGAGAAAGGGTAGGAATAGAGAGATGAGAAGAAGAACACCAACACATTACTCATAAGAAGGACACCTAAACGTGTGTGTGTCGGGTCCTTTTTCCTTCGGACTTCAGTTCAAAAGGATGCAAGTTTAATATGAATCCCACGTGCCTGGGATCAGGGGGGAAATTTCACCACATGGTTGATAAGCATAAGCCAGCTTTTGTGAACAGCTGGCACTGACGTTTATTTTTTTACCGAAGACTTGCGCTGATTATAAGCTGACATGTAAATTTTGAAAAACTTACACCAAACATAAAGGCAGAAAATGCTGCCGATATTAATGCACATTTTCTCTTTTGGTGACATGTGGATTATGTGTTGCAATAGGACTTAATTTGGATGTGCTGAGAGTCGAATTCAGAAAACATCTTAATCCTGGGCACAAGCAAAAAACATGCCCTTCTCATGGCAATTTCAACTCCCAAAGCAAAACTCCACTGTACAAAACAGGACTGAAGAGCTCTCACACTGATTAAAAAAAACACTTTCCATTTCTCTTCAGGCCAGAAAAGACAGGAATGAGTGCACAACAGACCAGCGAAACAATCAGAAAGAGAAAAATGAAGATAGCACCTTATTATATCTTCAGGATCTACCCAATCTCAGAAAATTAATGAGTAGCCGTGGGGAGCAAGTCTATCGGAAAGAGTATAGTAACCCTATATGTGGCTGATAAAAAGGTACCTATTCTCCTGCTTTAAATGGAAGTGAAAAGAACAGTTTCTTGTTTATATTTAGTTCATAATCTCTTTTAGAGGCTAGAGAGATTTCTTGATTAAGTATAAATCATTATTAGCTGTAAACCACTGCAGTTAGTATACAGTTCTCTGTTTTTAGCTAATCTGCAGTAGCTGTTCTCATTTAGATAGATTTGGATGCATTAAGCTATTTTGAACCAAAGTACTGAGATGACAATGTATATTAATAAAATGAATATGATGCAGTATGGTATAATGTAATGTGGGTAGAGATAGCAGGTAAAAGGATGGTGATAGAGTGGTAGACAGAGAGAGAGAGAGAGAAGAGAGAGAGAGAGAGAGAGAGAGAGAGAGAGGGAGGAATGACAGATAAAGCAGACTCACTCTGCATTGGAGAGAAGAAGACCTCTGAGAGAGGAGCAGCTTTGGTCCATTTGTACTGAGGGACAGGTTTGCCGTGGCTGGACTTGCAGCTGAGCGTCACATTCCCCCTCAGCACAGGGTCTCCAGTCATAGAGCACACTGGGGTGGAGGGAGGAACTGAAAAAGTAGAGAGAAGCCAGAGTGTCCATTTCTGCAGTGAAATCATTATGAGCTTATTTAGCATATTGTTGATCTACAAACTAGCAAGTATGATATTTTATAGAAGTGTAAGCCTTATTATTACTATCAGTATTAAACTTCATAGGAAGAGAAGCAATATTTATAAACCAGGACCTGACCAATAACGCCAAGCTCAGTTCTAAGAAGATAAAAATTTTAAAATAATGTCAGCTGTTAACATGGTCCAGAATTAAACAGGCTGCTATAGTTTTACTTAACTAGTGCTTTACTAACTGATATGATTGTCAATTCTCAGCCGAAAACTTTCAATAAATAAACAGCAGAAACTTCAACATATAAAACACAAAACTACTTATATATTAGTCTTATAAATACACATAAATTCACAAAAAAGCAAATTTACAGGGCCCATATTCTTCAATGGTCTTGCATTTTATCTTTTTACCCTGATTATATTTGTGTGGGGTTTATGTAACAAAACGGTCATGACTAATTTTTACATAACCATTTTCCAAACTCTCTTTACCCCTTAGAATTAAACAGCCTGTGTGCTTAAGACATATATATGTAAATGAGCTCTGTTCTGATTGGCTGCCCTTCATTGTGTCTTACTTAAAAAGCAGTACAGGCTGAAACACTCCTCATAACTTCAACATGAATGGGTGTGACTAAATGCTGTAGGCTGAATGTGTGGATATGTGTAAATGTGTTTTTTCAATGAGAGAAAAACAAGGTTGATTAGTGTCCATATGATGCTTAGTTTCCAGATATGGACTGTATGAACTGGGGAGTGAACGGTACATTTTGAAGCTTCAGCAGTGTTTAGACACTACACCAAACTCTTTAACCCCTAAAGTTCTATTACACACTTCTAGAACCTAAGAATAGCTTACCCAGTGTGCACTGAAGTCCCTGTAGTACTGAATAATAAACCTTAGTATGTATTTAGCCTGGGAGTTTAAGGAGTTAATTGCAAAAAAGTGAGGAAAATTCAGTTTTCAATGATATGGGCTTTTTAAAATACACTGTCTGTTCTACTTAACAAAAGCAACTTAAAAATGAACTGTAGTCGCACAAAAACATCGCTTTCTATCCTAACATTTTTATGACATAATAAAATGTTGCTATTCCCTGATATTATCAATGCTTTACTAATAGGATTTGACGCTGATAAATTCCAAATCGATATCTGATGAGCTATTTATTGTTCTCTGGAAGGGAAGAATGTTGATGTGACACAGAGTTACTGCACTAAAATGTCTGTATTTTGTTCATTTTATTGCATATGTGACCCTGCAGAAATAAATTTTACATTTCTGTATGATGTTAATCCAGGTAGATGAAGCCCTAATTTCTACATTTTAGAAATGTTTGTGGATTGTGCATCAGTCCACGATTCCCATATTGGTGCATCCCTAGTTTTTATATACGACAGATACAATATATCAGTTAGGCCATATTATAAACCTGCAAACAGTAAATCGGTCAATACTAATCTGCTATCCTGTTCTGTGGCACAGTGTACATACCCTTCACATTGAGTGTCAGCTCCCCAGACAAGCCTGGAGCTCCGGGAATGATGACGTTACAGAGGTAGCGGCCTGAGTCTGACTCCTGCGTGTTGTTGATGTAGATGGACAGATTGGAGGAGGGCATGGACATGGCAAATCCGACACGCTTCCTGAACTCAGGACTCCCCATCCCGATCTGGCCTGAGGTGTAGGAGATGATCTGCTCCACCACACCACATAATCATGGCATCATCAGTCGTTAGCCACTGGGCAGGGAACTGCATTTTAATGTTTCAACTACCCTATATTTCACTCATGGCTGGTTAGGTTGGGCTACTGACCAACTCTCAACTCGAAATCACCATGCTAGCATGAAGTGTGCAACAGCAAAACAAAATGCACTCCAAAGTTGGCTCAAATGTGATCTGAAGGTAATACTGCAGTTCTTAAACCGTTTATTTAACAAGCATAATTTCCTACACTCTAAAAAATGCTGGGTTATTTTTTCCACGCAAACACTGGGTTGATCCTATTGGATCATTGTGCTGGGTTCCATGGTGCTGGTAGTTTTGTGTAGGCCAGCTACTGGGTTAAAAGCTCAGTGAGTGCAAACTTCTTTACCCAGCCCATGAGCTAATCAGCTCGCCCATGATCAGCACTCAATAATGTAGCAATTGCAGTAATGCCAGCATTCTACTACTTATAACCTGTTTTGTGTCCAAAAAAGCAAAGATGCTGGTAAGTCTTTGATTTTGTAATGGAATATATCCTTCTACTTTCCAAAATGAAAAGAAAGTTCACATATAAATGGCTAGGAGAATGTTTATTTTTTGTTTTTAGCTGTTCAGCTCCGTTCACCCCATTTATTGAGGACCTGCTCGCGAGCACCCTCTAGTGCTTTGCAATCATGTTTTTTGAAATAAGAGAAATGAAGTGGCCAGGCATGGTTTTTGATTTTGTTCTGACCATACCCTCCCCTTGGTGAAGGATGTAAGTAAATTATCTACCATTGTCATCATATATCAGTATAACGCTGATTTTGCATTTCAGAGCTATACATCAAGTCGAACCTTGTTTTTGAGCCTGTGTGACGTTAATACATAAAGATGTATGACATGGTCCGAAAAATTCCTGCAAAATCCGATTCAACACCTCTGACTTTCAAATGATTATATATTATTTCAGGCTTTACAGAGTGACTTGCAGCAGCACACACACCATATTTTAGCTTGTTTTTTTCCTCCTGACTACGTAATGCTACTTCTGTCTCACACAGTGCAGCTTTAAGATTGACATACTGCCACATAGTGCCACCCATGCTAGTTTTTACACTGAGCTTAGTGACATTAGCTCAAAATAGCAAGCACAAACAAAACTAAAACCCTGCTAAGTTTTTAGTTAAAAGGTTAATTAATGCTACATTTTCAGTTCAGTTCTAAGCTCTAGCTGTGTGCATGCTTTGTTTTAATGTCCAGCCCCAAACCAGTTTTGCATAGCTGGTAAAAATCCAGAGTTATCCTGCCAGGTTTAACAGGGCCTGTCTGACCCCACTAAGACTGTGCTGTATTTGTCAAGATACCATATTTACCATGTAATAACAATTAACAATGTGACTTTTAAATTCTTGGATACTCTTTGAACCTGTTATGTTGTAAGCTATAGTAATGCAATAGTCCAAACATGGCTTCCATTATTTCATTAACTATAACTTTCTCCCTTCTTTTTTTTCTTGACAGGCTGAGCTGTCAAGGCCATATTTCTGCATCCTGAGATGAATTTAAACATACAATTTTATAAATTATATGGTTTTGTTATTGCACAAGTGGGTGTGTCTATAGTTATTTGTGTTAGCCTAAACATAAACTGCTTATTTAAATAATATTTGTACCAGAATTAGACACAATGTGCTGTAAGTAGGCATTAAATTATAATAATACAGTTATGGGGAACAATTAACCCAGCATTTTAATCAATATGAACCCAATTATGGCCTGAATGGTCAACTCAGCCTGCTGGGTCAAATGATCAACCCATCTAGCTGGGTTAGATTAACCCAGTGTGTGTTCTGTCTAATAGTATTGTGTTTGCTAAAACTATCCAGACAAGGTTGTTTTCAACCCAGCATTTTTTGAGTGTAGAATTACATTTTTAAGCACTAATGACCGATGAATGCAATCCCTTCAAATCATTAAAGGGAATGACAAACAGTTCCTACAAATACTGGTAAACAGACTTAATGACAGGCAAATCTTCATCGTAACGATAATCCCCAGATGCATGTAGGCTACAGATGGTCTAGTTAGAGTTTTAGGCTGATTTTCCCTTTATTTGAGATAATCTTGAAAGCAGTGACAAGTGAAACTACTCAGATTATCATAATCACCACAAAGATTACAAGTGCATGCTAACACATGTATGTATAACATGCAGCAGAGATCTAATGGTTACGTATATACCAAAAACCTAGCGTTAACCCAGCTTCACGATGCATCTACTGCCGTTGTAAGATCAATCAGAAGCCTTTGGTGTTAACGGCAGGACATAATTTGTTTCTTGCCCAATTATCCAGCTCATCACTTACATTTTCAGCAGCACCGTTTGCCCTTTAAGCATTAGATGCTATTTTAACATTGTATGGAATACAGAAAGTGACTGACCATAACAAGGATTACATGTAAAAGAAGCTTGCTTGTTAGCCCTTCATGTAACATGTAAAAGAACAGACTGTTCCCATTCATAATTTGTACTCCAGTGTAGAGGCCAGCCAAATCAGGCTAAAAACTAAGCATCTTTTGCCTCTGTGCTGCTAAGGGAATGATTTGCTACTGAACATTGGAGCAATGCTTCAACCAAAAGTCATATTTTCTGTTTTACTTTTGCCTGATCAGCTGAGACGTGTTTAATTTCTGAAGTTTTCTTCGTTCAAACTGCCACTCTGCAAACTGTCTAAATGATTAAACTGCAAGTTGTTAAATAATCTCAAAGAGACTTTTTATGTGGTTTCTGACAATGTATGGCATACTGATGACAAAACATGCCAAAAGTATGTCACATAGCTTAAAGCAGTGGTAGCAGCCACCTTAAAGCCTGTAATTTGTCTGTTCTTTTGTCCTTTTTGATAGATAACAGTGTCAACACAGTGTCACAAACTTTAGCTCTGGTGCAAAACTGAGAAAGCAAGCCCTAGACAGCAAGCTCTTGGCTGATCAATTACATTTGAGGAATTTGGAAATAGTGTTAATTTGTGAAGAACTAATTATATATGAAGAACTCTTTTACATGACACTCACTTGTTTGGAGTCGCTGGCCATGAAGTTCCAAATGACTGTATTCTTCTCTATGACGGATGTAGGGGTGTACCAGGCCTCCAGAACCACCATTTGGCCCTTGATTACTTCCATGTCTTTTCTTGGCATCTCGACTTTCTGCAAATCACCTGCAATGGAGGTGATTCAGAGCATGTTTATAGGTGCCTCTTGTGAGAAGGACATATATGATGAGCAACAAGGCTTCAGGCTCCAACCTATGCATTAGTGCACTCAGCACGGAGATTAAAAAACGAAAAAAGGTTCAGGTCCAACAGAGCAAGACCAGACACTGAAACATTAATCAGAGGACAATGTCAAACAAATCGTATTCAATAATACTGTACAGAACATAACATGAACGATGAAATATGAAGGAGTGTGATGGATGAAGTGACACTGCAGCAGAGCTTTTTATGATTTGGTAAATTCAGTCTCCACTTCCCAGAAAATGATTTAAGCTTATGGTTTAAGGATTGCCTCATATGTCACCAGGAAAGAAAGGAGGAAAAAAACTGACGAGCGCTCCACTGTGGGTTCTACCCAGCACTTTTCTGAGGAAAACATTCTTCTCAAGTACAGTGCAATAAATAATTTACACAGGCAAACCAAAACCCAGATTCCTTTTTTATAAATGATAAACCTGCTTTCAATCTGAAGTTTCACAGTATTAATCTTCAGAGCTGAGAGAAAAATCACAGGGAAACAGGAAGAAGCAGCAAGAAACTTAAAAGAAGAGAGCAAAGAAACTGTCAGAACAGCAGAAACTTCTTTGCTGTAAACCTTAATACTGACTAGAAATGTGAAAAAAGGGATGGCAAAGCTCACTTACAGGGCATATAGTCTCCTGTGCTGGTCAGTTGAAGATGGATCAACTGATCCCAGCAGCCGTTATTGTCCAGATCAGCCAGCTTGGCGGTGGGTCCACACAGACAGGCAGGCAGAAGCAGTGGTGGATCTCTGCTGAACTGAACTACACAGCAACGTCCCTTCACTTTTGGAATTAAACCGAATTCAGCTGGGAGCATTAGCGCCGAGGAGTGATGTCAGGACGATGGCATCTTGTTTTAAGCTTAAAGTTCCGCCGACTTTGCTTTCTTACTGCCCATGAGAGCCTGTGACCCCACACTGTCTCTCTCTCTTTCATTTTGGCCGTGAATCTGCTATGTCCATCCCTCTAATCCCTAAACAATCCCCTGGCTCAATCTTTCAAGCCATTCTCAAGCCTCACGTGAATCAAGTACATTGGACTTAAAGATGATGTAACACGTGGGCGCTTTGATGACTGTCTCCACAGCTGGATTGCCTTCATTCACATTCTCAATGCAGGGAAAGGTTTAAATCACTCTTATTAAAGGATCTAAATGTAAACCAACCAAATACAAGAATAGGAATAAAGTGGCTAGACATTTAGAAAAGACTGGGAGTTTTTGAGTGAATCACACGGTGGGCGGTGGGGCATGACGTTAGCAATAAACTGGCGCCAAGTATTGATGTTTTTATCAAATGTACAGACGCTCTAAATGGATTTCTCCGCATTAAATCTGTTACCACTTTGATTTACCAGAATGTCACTGCTTCATAACTCCCCGCAAATCAAACTGCAACGAGTGTGGGGTGAATAAAAGTTAGCTAACTGTGAAGTGAAAATAAAAATAAAATAAACTCACAGTTAAGAAGGCAGATCAGCAGGAAAAATGTGAAGATATCTGTATCTTTCAAAGTGAAAATCTTTGCCCACTTTAAAAATCACAACACTGATGGGACAAACTTGATAAAGATTTAGCGTTCTGCAAGAACTGTCTCATGTAAAGTACACAGGAAACACAGCCACCTTATTCATCAGTGTTTTAAGTATTAGTAAGTCTAAAAAAAGTTGTTTTTTGAGAAAGTATATTTTTTTCATTTAAGTTTTTATTGACTCCAGATCCAGTATGACAGAAGGTCATCTTGCAATAAATTTCATACTGCAGAATCATCTGTAGAGGCATCAATTTGAGCACCACAAAAATAACAGCTCTCACATAGTACTACATTGCATTCCACACTTGATTACAGTTCCTGTAATGGCAAAACCCAAACACAAACAATATGGACATTTTACACTTGCCCATACATCAGTGACCTTTTGTTGGCTTAAAGGTTGATGTCAATCATGATACTACTAAACAAATTATTGGATCTGTTTTCTTTTGGCTGGGATTTGTTTTGCGCTTTGTCTTAATCTTAATCTAAGACCACAATTTTGCCCTGCATCTGATCTTTGCTTGGGGGCTGGTTTGGGGGTAGAAAGTAGGGCATGCGTTGGTGAAGCTGCAGCTGTGGGACTGTGTTGCCTGGAGCTGTTCAGAGCACTGCAAGCCTGCATGGCTCCTTGCCGAGGTTTGAAGCTTGTCTCTCGACTCTGCGTCCAGGTTTATCTCCCCGCAGCATCATTGTGTCATCGTAGCACTTTATTAAATCAAGGAAAATCTTCCCTAATCCCTGGCTCCAGCTCCATCTGTGCCGCTGCCGGCAGACGTGGAGAGGAGTCGGAAGGTGTGGAGTGTGTCACGGACGCCCGTGTCTAATCAAAGAAGCCAAAAAACACATGGGAGGATTCAAGGTGTCTGACACATTAAAAGATTTTAGCACACTTACTCAGCCTAATTTTCACGACTGGCATAAGGCTGACCAGACAAGACACTTTTGGCTAGTGCTGAGCTGGTCAATTTTGTCAAATACTACTATTTAGCCATTCTTTCTTCTCAAAATGTCTTATCTTGGACTTCAAATTATCAAAGATGCAACTACTACAGACATGGCACAGAAATGGATTAAATTACCCCCTTAAAATCCCAGGCTTCTTACTCAGTAATTACAGGGACTTCAATACAAACTGGTTGAGTTATCATTAGGTTACAGAAGTGTGTAATAAACCTTTGAGCCTGTCAAGGGGCCCTGGCCATTTAAGGAGTTGAATAAAGATATTAATTACAATAATAAAATCGCTGACGAATATTATTACTACAAAATATTGCTGCAATTAAAAAAGGAATTCTCAAAGTCTGAGAGATGTCAAGTGCTGCACTTATAGCTGGCAGCCTAGTGAGGGCAGCAACATATTGACAAATGACCAAGCCCCATTAAGGTGTTTTTTTCCAGAAGAGCCAGTAAACCTGGTAAATAAGCTGAACAACTTAACAACATTTTCCTGTGTAAATGGACCTTTTTTATGACCATGAAACTTCTAGCAAACTCAAAAGTAGGTCTAAAACTTCACTGTAGTATCCATACCGTAGTGTCAATCTGAATCATACAGCCACTGCTATCTGTTTTAGGGTGCATTTACATCTGCAGTTTGGTGCTCTTGGTCTGGGCCAAATCAGAAAATGATACATTAATGAATTTTAGCTTTGGTTCACTTAGCATTCATACTGACATTTCTGACGTTGAACCAAAATACGTAAACATAAGTTATGCACAGAAAATGTTACAGCTGACTAGGCTTTTTGAGATATACATTTGCTGAACTTTCAAATCTAGTCTGTACTCCGGCTTAACTGAGCTTGCAGATTTTATGTATATCTTATTTTATCTTTTTCTTGTCACATTTTAAAAGAATGTTAATAATCTTGCTCCTGGTGACACACAGCACTGCATGGTTTCAAGTCCTTCCAGAGCTGGATTTGCTGTGGTCGGCTGGGGAACAGCTGAAACTGTGCAGTGCTGTGGGTCACTAGGAGCAGGATTAAGAAATGCTGCTCTAAGGCAATAAGTGGGGTTTTCCCACAATGTGAACTGGAGTAAAATCACTGTAAGGGCCCTGACACACCAAGCTGACTGCTGGCCGTCGGTGAATGTCGGTGGCCTACTGTTGCCCGTAGTTTGTGCAGCGTGCCCTGCACTGTTGGCTCTAGCCTGCTCCTGTCAGTGCTATTTGGATTGAGCGTGTTAAATCGGCCATCAGCTGTGAGAGAGAGCTGAGAATGAGCATATAAGGAGAGTAAGAAAAGAGAAAAGAAAGAAACCAGCACTCTCAAGACAACGCACAGAAAGAGTTTCCTCATTTATTATTTTATTTTTATCATCTAAAAATGGGCATTTTAACTAAGACACTAACATAAATAAAACACTCCCTTATTTGTTGGACTTTGTTCATCTTTTTGTCATAAACTATTAACATCTTATTTTACTGTTTCATGTATAAATTAAAATTAAAATTCTTTTAAGTAGCCTTTTTACCCATGCAGCGCCAAGCTAACAATAGTTTACTTTCACTTTCGCAAGTGTGAACATGCCCTTATATCATCCAACTGCAACATGTAGCAAAAATATAATGTATATATCATGCAGCCGTAGTCATTATAAACAAAATACCTATTGGCCTATACATACATACATACATCATCTAAACCGCTTATCCTTCTGGGTCACAGTGGGGTGCTGGAGCCTATCCCAGCTGTCATTGGGCGGAAGGCAGGATACACCCTGGACAGGTCGCCAGTCCATTGCAGGGCAGACAGACAGACATACACAGTCACACTCACATCACACCTAGGGGCAATTTTAGCACGTCCAATCGGCCTGACTGCATGTCTTTGGACTGTGGGAGGAAACCGGAGTACCCGGAGGAAACCCACGCAGACACGGGGAGAACATGTAAACTCCACACAGAAATGACCCTGGTCACCTGGCCGGGAATCAAACCCAGGCCATTCTTGCTGTGAGGCGACAGCGCTACCCACTACGCCACCGTGCCGCCCCCTATCGGCCTATATTTGTTTCACTTATTTTTAATGCGACCAAAATGTTTTCAAGACACCCTTCCTAACCTTTATTCAGTATAGGTACTTCATAATATTGTGTGTTAATATTTAATTGTGGATTCTGTATTCAGCTTGTTTATCATTATAAGGTTGTTAAGAGTTTCCAACAACTACGTTTGCCCCTAAGCTTCCCACTGTCCTTACTATATTTCAGGACTAGCATGCAATGGTTCAACTATGAACACTTACAAAGATACTGATTGGAAATTCCATCCCAGGTGCTTGAGGGATCCAAGAGGCTTTTACTGAATGTCTGGTTGAAAGCCCTGAGAAGAAAAAAACTCTGAGACCTGAGAATCAACAGGAGTCCACTCTCATTAACC